AGTGACAATGATGGGTCTCATTCTCCTAAAGAGCCTTGAATATAATCTCAGGGCTAGGATGAAGGAGACGTTACTGGGGCCTGCTCGAGGCAATTGACGATTAACAGGATGATTTGTGATTTGTGATTTGAAAGGAATTTAATGATAATAAGTGCTGTGAAGAAAGAGTTCAGAGTCCAGGACGTGATTTAATGTGGGAGGGGAACTTTAGGGAAGACCTTCCTGAAATTTAACACATTATCTGGGGCTTGAAAAATGAGCAGTTTTTTTCCCCCCCCTGCATAAAGAGTTGAGAAAGGATACTCTGAGCAGAGAAAAGAATGAGTGTGAAGGCCTACCACTGAGAAGAGATATTTCAGGTTAGGAACAGTAGGGAGTCAAGTGTGGGGCACTAAGACAGTGAGTGATAATGTCTGTGGTAGGGGAGGTAGACTGGGGTTAGATCTTATGGGTCTCATAGTCCAGGCTCAGGGATTTTTTTCTTTATTTTTTTGAGAATACCCTTAGTATCTGTGGATCACTTCCTGTGCTGCTCAAGGATTGAATCCTGGGCTCTTTTCTGCATAAATGTGCTCTAGCCCTGACCTCAAGTTAACGGCTTTAACTTTAGACTGAAAATAAGTGGGTGATTCTTTGAATGTCAGGAGAAAGGGACTCTCATTCATTGCTGGTGGGAATGCTGACTAGTCTAGCCTTTTTGGAAAACAATAAGGACATTCCTCAAGAAAATAAAAACTGAACTCCCCTTTGATCCACCATACCACTACTGGGAATATACCCTGGGGGACCAAAACAAATCAGAAACACCATATGTATTTTTTATTTTTATTATTAGTGAAACACCATGAGGTACAGTTGTAGACTTACAAACTTTCGAGCTTGGGTTTCAGTTATACAATGATCGAGTACCCATCCCTCCACCAGTGCCCATTCTTCACCACCAATGATCCCAGTAGCCCTCCCACCCCCCACCCCATGCTCCCCACCCCACCTCTGTGTCAGGGCATTCCTTTTTGCTCACTCTTTCCTTTAGGGTGTTGTAGTTTGCAATAGAGGTATTGAGTGGCCATTGAAGAAATAGCATATGTATTTCTGTGTTCATTTCAGCACGATTCACAATAGCCAGATTACTGAAACGACCTGAGTTCCTGATAATAGAGGACTGAATAAAGGATATATGGTACATATACACAATGGAAATCTATGCAGCTGTTAGGAAAAATGAAGTTATGAAATTTGCCTATATAAATGAATGGATATGGAGAGTACTATGCGGAGTAAAATGAGTCAGAAGGAGAGGAATAGATATAGAATGACTATATTCTATATCTATATTTGTGATATATCTATATCTATGTCTATCTATTTACATCTATAAAGTATGAGACTAATATCCAAGTCCAAGGAAAAGTGGCCAGGACGACTTGTAATGGTTGGAATCTACCACAAGTGTGTAGGGGGCGGAGGGTAGATAGGACAGAGAAGGGACCAGTATGACAATAATAGTTGGAAATTATCACACTGGATAAGAACTGAGTATTGAAAGTAGGTAAAAGGATATACATGATAACCTTTCAGTATTGCAAATCACAATGCCCAAAAGGGGGGAGAGAGAGAGAGAGAGAAAGAAAGAGGAAAAGTGCCTGTTGGGATGAAGTTTGGGGTGGTGGGAGGGAAAACTGGGGACACTGGTGCTGGGAAATGTACACTGGTGGAGGGATGGGTTTTGGAACACTGCATGATTGAAACCCAATGATGAACAACTTTGTAATGGGCTTTGTAATCACAGTGATTCAATAAAAAATAAATAAAAGCAAGGGGACGATTCTAAAAATAATGGTGTCTTATGAGTAGTTTTATTTTTTAAAGGTTATTATATTAATAGCCATGTTATTGTGACTTCACAAAGTAAAATGTGGGGGTTACTGCTGCGACAAGTGTGTGTTCCGTGGTCCAGAGCTGCCTCCCCACCTCCCTAGGCCTCCCCCAAAGAGAGACAGAGAGACAGGGAGATGGGGGCCCATATCCTGATGTTGAAAATGGCCCATTTAATGCAGAGCTGCTAGCACACTTATAGAACATCTGAGGGGGATTGAGGTAAAGACATAGGTGTGATTGATCATTTACATAGATAAAACATTTGGCAGAGGAACTTCTCCTGGGGAGAGTAACTCAAGGATACACTCTGTCTCCTAGGGACATCTACATTGCTTTTTATCTTTTCTTCTAGTTGTATATGTTATCAATACTTGCAGTTGTTTGGAAAAACACAGTAAGAGACAAGGATCCCAAAACTTAGTTCTCTGGGTTCTGAGAGCAAGCAAGTGTTACCGTAAATTCTAGACTAAGTCCTCACCCCAGTTCAGCTTGTCCTTCCTCATGGGGACTCTGTCTCTTAAGTCATAACAGCTTACATCAAGAGCATGCATTTATGCTTTCTAGAATGTCCCATTTTGATGCCTGGGTAGCTGTGCCACTCGTCCTGGGTCCATTCCAGTCCCACTCCGGGACCTCTCTTTTGGGGTGTTAGGAACTATAGCAATTGAAGCCTGAGTCAAGTAATTATGACCAAGTAATTATGCCCAGAAGTAGGTATGGTAAAGGTAAAGGCCCTTCCGTTGATCATCGATTTGCTCGAGCAGGCCCAGTAACGTCTCCATTGGAGACTTTGTTGTTAATTTCAGTCAATCAACTCCCAACTATTAGGAGCAGAGCATTAATGGTCTTTCTGTGTTTAACCAAAGGACATTGCTCTATAGTAAAATATACAAAGGCTAGAGGAGAAATTGAAAAGCAGGTACCAATACACAACACTTCAAATACAAAGCAGTAAGTAAACAAGACTGACTTGGGGAACTGAGACAATGAGAGGTAAAATACAAAGTAAAGGTGAAAGATAAACTTTAACGAAATTAGGGATGCTAGTACTGTAGGATAAGCTTCTCTGGGAGGAGGAAAAGGGGCAATTCACAGGTGAAGCCTAAAACACTTTGGGTTAATATACAACATTAAGTATAAAAACATTTTCACCATGATTAAAAGAGTATTGGCAGACAAATTAAAAAGCATTTCAATAGTTGAAGAAAGTTCAACAGTAGATCCAATTATCTATCATCTATCTAATTTAGTGATCTATATCTGTATAAAATTGTCAATAGTAAGCATGCATTTCACATAAGTGGGAGAAATGACTTATGTAAGATTCTTGGGTAAATAAATATCCTGCTATTGAAAAAAAAACCACCTACACTTAAGACTTCTAATGACACAAAACTAAGTGATATGATATGATTCCCAAAAGTATAATAAATAAAGCTTAAAAAACTTTTTGGGTTGGGAATGCCTTTTCTGAATAGATTTCAAAATCTAGACATTGTAACAGTGATTGTGGCATCTAATGTAGGGATGGTAGTGAATCACTTCAAGGCATATTTTTGACATGAAAAAGTGGGTGTTGTCGAAAGAGGGTGGATAAAAAAGTGAGAGAGTTGGAAGATGTCAAGAGTGACCAAATCTGTAGTCTAAGGAATCCAATGGGTGGCATTACTGCCTACCGAGATGGGGAAGAGAAGATGATACAGGAATGATAAATTAGTTTTAGGTGAAAACACTTTGTATTTTTAAGGGCGTCATCAAAAAGGGGGGAAAAACAATACAGAGAGACAATGTGTGTGAGAGAGATTACAAATATGATAAGGGACTTATTTAGAATATATTTATACAAACAGCTAAAAATCAAGACATTTCTCCAAAGAAGATCTATCTATCTATCTATCTATCTATTCATCCATCCATCCATCTATATTTGCACACATGTACATTCTTTTTTTTTTTCTTTTTGGGTCACACCCGGCGATGCTCAGGGGTTAATCCTGACCCATGCACTCAGGAATTGCTCCTGGCGGTGCTCAGGGGACCAAAAGGGGTGCTGGGAATCGAACCTGTGTTGGTCATGTTGTCTGTGTGCAAGGCAAATGCCCTACCCGCTGTGCTATGGCTCCAGCCCCACACACGTACATTCTTATCCAATTGGAAAATGCCCAACATCATTATCAGTCATAGGGAAAAGCAGCAATGAGACACCTTCTTTCTCACTAGAATGGCAATAATCATGTTACAAGTAAAAACTGTTATTGAGCCTGTACAGAAATCAGAAACTGCATCCATAGCTGGAAGGGATGTTAAATGGTTTGGAAACAGTTTTTGGACGATCCACAATGCCAATCCTGGGTATTCACCCAAGAGAAATGAAAATTAATGGCTACACAAAATATTATACACGAATGTATATAACAGATGTTTTTCCTAATAACCAAAAAGTGGAAGCAATCCAGTTGACTAATGAAAGAAAAAAACAAAGTATAGAATATCACTCAAGAGATCATTTGGTCATAAAAGAAATAAAGTACTGACACAAGAATAGTACTGACACAAGAATAGGAATAATGCTCAGAAACAAGCTACGTGCAAGAGATCAGCTATTGAGAACCAAATAACACGCAAAGCCGAGAATGGGCCAAGTTTCTAGAAACAAAGCAGATGAGTGATTGCTTAGGCCTGGGGAGGAGGTCTGGGGAAGAGATGGGGAGAGTTTAGAATGACTAACAGGTATTTATTTTGGATGAGACATGGTGATTAAAATGTTCTAAAATTACAAGGGATGATGAAACAAACCTCTAAGATACTTAGAAAACCCATCCATGTGTTTCACGGGTCAACTTTATAGTACATCCATATCTCAAGAATACTGCTAAATTCAACTTGGGATATAGCAGCGTTCCAAAATGTACCTGTGAAGACTCATAAAGAACTCCGCTCTGTGGTTCCTGGGATGGGTGTAGGGTGAAGGGGCCTTAAGAACAGCGCCTGGGGGACAGAAGTTTCCTGATTTTCTTCCTTCCAGTTTCCAGGCCACGCCTCTTGGGCGTATCTTAGCAACCCGCTCCCCACTCGGGCTCTTCCCTGGGACCGCCCTCTATTTCGTCACTTCCGCCCTGGGACCGGAAGTGAGGTCGGAGCCGGCGGCTTTCCCGGGAGTTCGGCGTTTGCAGTGTTTGCAGCCGGGTGGACTGTGTAGCTGGCACTGGCGGCGACCTCTTCTCCCCCGGGGTCCACCCCCTCCTGTCCTGGTGGTGAGGTCCTGGAGGGAAAGCCGAGGTCCGGGAACGTGTGCCCCCCTCCCCAGGTCTGGGGACGGGGCTGGCGGGGGCAGCAGCCCGGGGGGTCCGTAGCGTCTCACCTGCGGCCCCGAGAGTGTCCCCGACACCTCCACCCTCGTCGCCTGCACCTTATCTCCTGCCGTGGGAGGGCCACCCCCTCCTAGAGAAGACGGCCCCCCCCCCCTTCCCCGTCCAGGTCCCGGAGTGACTTGTCATGACCGCGGTGTGAGCGAGTGGCCGAGCGGTGACACTTGGTCAGAGTCCCCCTCCCTCTCCCCCCCGGGTAAATGTTGCTGGGTGGGCACGGTCGCTTGCATCTGTGTGCGCCTGCTGTGGGCTGTGCCTGCCCAGGGCGGCTTTGGGTTGAGTTTTCGCTTTGCAGGGTGCCAGGGTTTGCTTCCCCCCTCCCCCACGCCCCTCCTCCTCGTTGCAAACTACAGGACTTGGCGCCTTGGGGTGGGGTGGGGGGTGGGGTCGGAAGCCGGGTAGGAAGGGCCCAGGCATCCTAAGACTTCGGGAATCTCAACTCCTGAGGCTTTCCATGACTTTGTATCAGCTGATAGTTTTGAGTGTTAAGTGTGTTTATATCTTCTCTGCAAGACAGCAGCGATTTCCTGGAGAGGGACCGAGCACCGGTCTGACCCTCCAAATCCTAAGAGTACTACTGCACACACGGGTAAAAGTGCACTCCTATTTCAATCGAGCCAAAAGCATCCGTTTTCCACCTGCTTTCGCTTTGTGTTGCAAGGGTCTTGTGGAAAGAAAGCGCAACATGAAATAACAGATCTTCATAGATTTACCTGCCAGAACTTTAGAGACTGCCTAGAAGGCTGGGTATGCTGCTCTCAGTGGAAGGGGAAATGGGGCTGAGGAGACCAATAAACAAATAATGACAATCCACCGATTTTTCTTCTCTTTTCTTGATAGGTGTTGTATCCTAGCTAACTGACCCCGGGGTGAGAGCTGCCACCATGGGAAATCAGCTGGCTGGCATTGCTCCCTCTCAGATCCTTTCTGTGGAGAGTTACTTCTCAGACATCCATGACTTTGAATATGATAAGAGCCTGGGGAGCACACGGTTCTTTAAAGTGGCACGAGCCAAGCACCGAGAGGGCCTGGTGGTGGTGAAGGTGTTTGCCATTCAGGATCCCACGTTGCCTTTAACCAGCTATAAACAGGAGCTGGAGGAGCTGAAAATCCGCCTGCATTCCGCTCAGAATTGTCTGCCCTTCCAGAAAGCTGCAGAGAAGGCTTCGGAGAAGGCAGCCATGCTTTTCAGGCAGTACGTGCGAGACAACCTCTATGATCGCATCAGCACCCGGCCCTTCCTGAACAACATCGAGAAGCGGTGGATCGCTTTCCAGATCCTGACAGCGGTGGACCAAGCACACAAATCTGGGGTTCGGCATGGGGACATCAAGACTGAGAATGTCATGGTCACCAGTTGGAATTGGGTCCTGCTCACGGATTTTGCCAGTTTCAAGCCCACTTACCTGCCAGAGGACAACCCTGCAGATTTCAACTATTTCTTTGATACGTCCCGGAGGAGAACTTGCTATATTGCTCCTGAACGTTTTGTGGATGGTGGATTGTTTGCCACCGAGTTGGAACATATGCGAGATCCTTCAACTCCACTTGTGGACTTAAATAGCAATCAGAGAACAAGAGGAGAATTAAAACGAGCGATGGATATCTTTTCAGCAGGTATTTGAGTTGGTCATGTTTGTGAAGGGGGAGGGTGCGTATGTTGAACTCTAAAAAATGCGTATGGAGCATTTCTTTAATCCTCTGTGTGTGTCTTAGTTTTCCTTATTGACTATTTCATATGGTTGCAACTTTCCTTCACTGGGTCTGTTTAAATGCCTAGAAAATGAAAAAGTAAGCATGGTTGTTTCATCCAGATATTTAAGAGATAATTTGAATTCTTCTACATGTGTCAGCCGCTGTGTTTTGCACCAGAGACATAGATGGATAATTATGTCCCTCTTTTCAAATTCTTTACACTTCATTGGGAAAACAGGTATGATATTGAGAAAGGACATTTCTATACAATGGGTTAGTGGCGGTGATAAGCTGTTTTAGGAACATATTGATATTTAAATTAGTCAGGAAAGCGCTTTTATTGGGAGTTGAATATTTAAATAGAACTAAGAGATGTTTGAGAACTGGCTTTGATAGGATGGTTTGTTACGGCGGAAGGTGTTGTTTGTAAAAAAACTTGAAGACCAGAACATAGTCCCCATTGATTAGGGCATGTTAAGTAACTTAGTGCAGTAGTTTGCAACCTTTCTTGTTGATGTTTGGGTTTTTCTTTGCTACACCTGGTGCTGCTCAGGCCTTATTCCTGGCTCTGTACTTGGGTCACTTCTGGCAGGGTTGGTGGGGCTATGTGGGATGCTGGGAATGGAACCTGGGTAAATCATGTGCCGGCAAAAACCTTACCCGCTGTACCATCCAGCCTCGTTTTCAGTCTTTTTACAACTAGAAACTGATGATTGACAACCAGGAGTGCAGAACAGTGGTTTTCAACGTTTTTTCACCATTGTGGACTGTGGTTGAAGCCTCTGAATGTATCAGGAGTCTAGGACATGAGGTAAGGCCCAGATCAGAAAGGATCTGCTGTACCTGGTCTTGTTTACGGGGACATTACCAAATAGTTGCTTTTGATGAAACACTCCTGTGTGTAGAGTTAATTGCAGGGGAGGGACATTGGAGGAGGGAAAACGAGTTAATAAATTGCCACTGTTCAATTCTGGTTTGCTTAAAGGTGTGACAGAGTTGGAAGGGGAATGAAGAGAAGTAGTGCTTAAGAAATAATCAGTAGGTAGAACTGTTCTGATTAGAGGATGAAGTCTAGAATACTTTTCTGAGCTGGGAACATGGCCCGCAGTAGATCTCTTGCCTTGAATGTGTGAGGCTCTGGGCTTGGTCCCCGACACCGGAAATAAAGAATCCTCCTTTCCCCTCTGCTTGGAAAACTAGGTGCATGGCATGGTGGTGCTAGTCACAGACTTAGGAGAGCAGGGGAGGAAAAGGTAGGGCACAGGCGCTGATGTGGTCTGGTTAGATAATGTCGAGTGGAAGGGGTATCCAGGGAGGAAGTACAGCACATGGTTACTTATAAAGATTTGAGTCATAGAAATTTGGGGTTAGAGATGAAGATTTGGTAGTTAATCAGGAAAAAGGTAGTCATTGTAAGTATTCATATCCAAAGAGAAGGGTTTTTTTGGGTTTTTTTTTTTTTTGGGCCACATCTATCTGTGCTAAGGAATTACTCCTGGCTCTGCACTCAGGAATCACTCCTGGTGGTGCTTGGGGGATCACATGGGATCGAACTCCAGCCACATGCAAGACAAATACTCTATCCGCTGCACTTTCGCTCCAGCCCCCAGAGAAAAGTTTTGAAGAAATGGTTCTTAAGCTTTTTGGATGTCGGTGAAGAATTTGGTACATTGGCCTTCTTCCCAGGAAAAATTGCCCTGTACTCATGTAAAAATGCCATGGCTCTTGGACACATACGGATCATGTGAAGCTAAGCCATTGTTTCAGATTTTTGCTGAACTGGGAGAAGAGGGCTTGAGGATAGAATCCTGAGGAATACAGTATGAGCTATTCATCAGTGCCATGACTAGTAAACTTTGTAAGGTTGGATTTCATCTTTTCTCAGCTGTTAGGCTCACTACACTTTTTTTAGTATTTTGAAAAATTCCTAAAATCAAATTTTCTTTTTAGTAAGTTAGATTTTCTTTTTTTAAATTTAGTGGTGCTAGGAACCTAGGACCTTACACAGTAAGGCATGTGCTCTGACACTGATGTTCAACCCAGTCCCCATATTTTGTTTTTGATATGTTTGTGTTGCTGGGATTGAACTCAGGGCCTCAAACGTGCAAAGTGTGCCTTCTACCACTGCGTTATAGACCCAGCCTTGGTTGTATTGTAGATTAATTAGGAAAAGGAATCTAATGAAGATGTGAATTTCTTTCTCTCTCTTTTTTTTTTGTTTTTGGGGCTACACTAGCTGTGCTCAGGGCTTCTGTGCTTAGGGATCATTCTTGGTGGACTCCGGGGACCGTCTGGGGTGCTGGGGTTAGAATCCAGGTTGGCTGTCTGCAAGGCAAATGCCTTACCTGCTGTATTATCCTCCAGCCCCCGAAGATGTGAATTTCATCTAGGGAAGCAAATAACAATTGTTACCTAGGATTTCATCTCTGATGAACCATTCAGCTCATTTATCTGTCTTCAGTTAATCCTCAGGAGTGTTTTCCCTTCCAGACTGTATATGCAAGATTAGAAATGTAATATACCAATCCCAACATTTTGTTGTGTGTGTTTTGGTTCTATATTGAGCCCCAAAGTGAAAAGTGAGTTCTGTCAGAGAGGTACATCCATGGCTAACGTCTCTGCAATTCTGATCAGTGAATTTGTCTAAATTTTGCTTGATCCAGCCTTACTTGCATTTTAAATTTGCTGTTCTGTGAATAGGATTCCTTTGGCTTAGAATGTGGCTGTTTTCAAGGACTGGGGAGATAGTATACTGGGTAGGGTGCTTGTGCTTGCTTTGTGTATGGCTGACTTGAGTTCGATTTTTGGCACTGCATATGGTTCCCTAAGCCTCACCAGGAATGATACCTGAGGGCAGATACAGGAGTAAGCTCTGAGCATCGCTGGGTGTGTCCCAGGAACCAAAAATGTTTAAAAAATATATATAAAAAGAATGTGACTTTCTAGCTTTAGGATCTCATTTCTAGTTTAAAAAAACACTACATTAAGTCTTGTTAGCCTCTGTCACCATACATAGTATTGAGATTTTTTTTTTTTTTGCATTTTGGGTCACACCAGAGATGCTCAGGGTTACTCCTGGCAGTACTGGGGAGATCATATGGGATGCCAGGGATCGAACCTGGGTCAGCTGCATGCAAGGCAAATGCCCTACCCGCTGTACTTTCACTCCGGCCTCAAGATTTTCTTGTAATGAGTTTTGGAATTATTTTTATATGCTAAGGATTAAAAGGATGAACCCAGGGCCTCACACCTACAAGACAAGTGTTTTTTTTTTTTCCTATTTGTGTCACACCTGGTGATGCACAGGGGTTACTCCTGGCTTTGCACTCAGGAGTTCCTCCTGGTGGTACTCGGGGGACCATATGGGATGCTGGGAATCGAACCCGGGTCGGCCGCGTGCAAGGCAAACGCCCTACCTGCTCCAGCTCTGACAAGTGTTCTTAAGGCTGCTGCTACCTCGCTGACCCCTTTGTCCAGCTTATGTGGACACGTAACCTTGTGTGCTAGAGATCTCGTATGTATTGGCCTGAAAAATATTAGAGTGATTGACCATTTGGGAGTGGGGAATAGAGTTATCAATTAGACAAAGTGTTTGCCTTCATGAAACTTGCATTCTAGTGGTTTAGGAATTGAATAAGGGAATTAGAAAGTGGACTTTGATCAGTCCTAAGTTTTGTGATGATTAAGTTTAATAGGTTCTGTGAAACTATAGGCACTACGTATAGATTTATAACAGAGGCTGATAGGGAATGGCCTCAGAGCACTGGTCAGAGAAGAGGACATTGAGCTGAGATCCAAATGACAAGGAGGACTCAGTGATGAAATAAGACAACTTGAACTAGTTCTTCACTAGGAAAACAACTCCTAGAAATACCCCTTCTAGAGTAATGTTCCGAAATTGCCAGGAGAATCCTGGATTCCCTTCTGTATCTGTCTGCTGTGAAGCTGGAAGTCCAGTGAGATCGCGGCACCTGCAGGGTTGCTGGGTCTCTTTTCTCCCCCTCTGCTTTCCTGTTGCTGTTGTTGGGGTGCCAGATGGGGCTCACCTGCTTTTAGTTGCTGTGTTAGCACACAGTGTGCACCGGGGCCCACTCTCTTGGGATGGTGGCAGGTTGTGGACTGTTGCCTAATCTCATTATGTTGCTTGCTGGGGTTTGCTTTGGTACATACGTGTTTACTCGAGGTCATGTTCCTACCTAGAGAACGCCAGAGAATACACTGATGGGGTCCGGGGGGTATCCAGGCAGTGGAATTGCCTGGACTAAGCCTGACACATTTGGGTGGCACTAGAGAACGAACTTGTTGGACCCATGTTTGCAAGACCATGTTTGCTATTGAGTTTTCCCCTGCCCCCCCATGTCCCTCTTTTCTTTCCCTTTCTTTTTTTTTTTTTGTGTGGAGGGGCGGAGACCACATGGGACAGCAGGGATCGAACCCTGGTCAACTGCGTGCAAGGCAAGTGCCCTACCACTGTACTATCTCTCCTTCCCCCATGTCCCTTTTTAAAAGGACACCAGCCAGAATGGAGCACAGCTCCATCTCCTGACCTCCATTAGCCTTACTTACCTTTTGAACGGTCCTGAGTCCAAGGAACAGTCCAAGTAAGGTGTTGGGTATTAGGGAGGGTGAAGACATGTTTCAGCCATAACATCCTCCTTTTGGTTGTAAATGGTCAAATGTTATCACTTGATCACTTGACTTCCCGTTAATTGTCAATTTGCGCTAGTGGGCGCTGGTAACATCTCCATTTCTCCCTGTCGTGTGCTAGTGTAGCCCAATGGCGTCTGTTTGCTCCAGGAACACGAAGAGCCTCAACCAATTGTTCATGATCTTGATGAAGAAGTCTGACCATCTGGTAGGTGGGCGGCCACGCGGTCTTTTGAAATCTCGTGGAATCCAGTCGGTAACGTCTCTAGTCCAGCGGTCGTCTCTAAATCTGATTACGTGATCAGCCCATCTGATTTTTGACGCCTTGGCAAATGAGACAGCATCCCTGATTCTTGATCGTCAATGGAGGTCGAAACTCCAGATTCTTTCTCTCATTTGAGTGAAACGTGATACTCCAAGCATAGCTCTTTCAAGTCCTCTTTGGGAGACCCTAATAGCATTCTCATACTGTTTGCATAGGGCTCAGGTCTCTGAGGCATATATTAACGCAGGAAGAACAGTGAAATCAAAGAGATGTGCCCGGAGCAGGAGGTTCTTCGTCCTCTTAGCTATTTCTTTGATGCTCTTGAAGGCATTCCAAGCCGCTCTCTTTCTCCTGCACAGCTCGGGTGCCAGGTCATGTGTCATGTTGACTTCTCGACTAGGTACACATAACTGTTGCATTCGGAGATGGTCATTCCGTTGAAAGTGAATGGAGCATCAGGGACGAGGCTGTTTCTCATAAACATTGTCTTCATAAGATTCAGCTGTAGTCCTACCTTTCCACACTCACGGTCAAAGTCGGCCAGCATTTGTGCCGCTTGGCTGATGTTTGGTGTTATTAGAACAATATCATCAGCAAAGCGGAGGTGGTGTAGTTGCCGACCATCTATCTTCACTCCCATTCCTTCCCATTCCAGTCATCGCATGATGTTCTTGAGGGTGGCACTGAAGAGTTTCGGTGAAATGGTATCACCCTGCCGAACCCCTCTCTTGACATGGATGATCACTTCTTTGTAGAATGGTGAGATCCTGGTAGTGAATCCGTAATACAGCTCGTGGAGGATCCTGATGTATTGAATTTGAATGCCCTGATTGGCTAGGGCTTCAATGACTGCTTCCGTCTCAACCGAGTCAAAGGCCTTCTTTAAATCAATGAAGGTTAGACAGAGCAGCGTCTTGAACTCCCAAGAAACCTCAATGAGCTTGGTTATTGTGTGGATATGGTCTATGGTGCTGAATCCTTTGCGGAACCCAGGTGTAGTTATTGGGTTTTTTTTTTTTTGGAGCAGTAGCACAGAGGGTAGGGCATTTCCCTTGCACACACACGGCCGACCCGGTTGGCCCAGGTTCTATTCTTCCACCCCTCTCGGAGAGCCCGGCAAGCTACCGAGAGTATCTCACCTGCACGGCAAAGCCTGGCAAGCTACCTGTGACGTATTCAATATGCCAAATACAGTAACAACAAGTCTCACAATGGAAATGTTACTGGGCCCGCTCGAGCAAATTGATGAACAGTGCTTCAGTGCTAATTTTTAATTTATGTTTTATTTGCCTTTTGGGGTCACACCCGATAATGCTCAGGCTTACTCCTGGCTCTGCATTTAGCAGTTATTCCTGACTGTGCTCAGGGGGCCAATGGGATGCTGGGGACCAAATCCGGGTTGGCCACATCATGCAAGGCAAATGCCCTACTTACTGTACTATTGCTCCGGCCCCATGTAGATATGTTTTTAACTTTATTTGAAAGTTATTTCCAAACTTAAATACTTGCCATCTTGCGATAATAAAAATGATATGCTTGGAACCCTTATGTCTGTTTTCCAGACTCACAGACTTTCTGTGCTATTTATTTTCTTTTTTGTCTTTTCTCATCATTCTCCACCCTGGCCATTATTATCTTTTCCTGAATAAGATACATACACCAGGGTTCTTTACCCCTAAATTCCTCAATGTATGGTACTCAAGATTATTTATATTCACTTAAACAACTACGGTGCCAACATCAATTTAGCAGATTTGACCTTGACACATTATATTCTTTATTTCAATTGCATTTGTAACCACTAATATCCTTTAAGGTGAGTTTTCTGTTCCAGGATAGGGCCTAGTCTAAGGTATTGTGTTTGGTGCCCATGTCTGTAGCATTCATTCACCTGGAATATTTCTATAGATTTTCTTTGTTGTTAGGATATTGATACATTTTTGAGGACTACTGCTGCTCTTACATTGTTTGATTTAGGGCCAGAGAGATAATACAGAGTTTTAAGGCATTTGCCTTGCATGCAACTGACCCCAGTTCCATTCCTGGCATCATATATGGTCTCCTGGGTACTGCTCGGACTGGTCCCTGAGCACTGATCCTAAGCACTGCCAGGCGTCTCTCCCAAAGGAAAAACAATTAATTAAATATTTCCCCTTCCTTTTTGTTGTTGTGCTACCAGAGATTGTGCTGGGTTGCAGTGCAATTTGAACCCATCCCAGGGAATCAAATTTGTGGTCTCATTCCAGCAAGGCAGACTTCATTGCACAGCCACACCTGCTGACCACTGCTTAAAATATCAGATTTTTCATTTTCAGACTCAAGGGAGTTGCAAAAATAGTGAAAAATACTTAGCTTAGCTTCTTTGACTTGTGCCCTACTGCTGTGCTGTCGCTATAGATGTTACCCAAAGAGCAAAAAAAAAAAAAAAAAAAAAACATTGCTAAATGTATTTCATATAATGATTCAGTGTAGCTGTTTTTGCCTTTTTTGAATGGAGATACTTTTCAAATGTAATTTTCTTTAAGGGAAAAAAATCTTTTTGAATTTGTACATTTGCTGATTAATCAATAGATATCTCTCTTGCTTGATTACAGTTATATGTCACATGAAAAATTTAATTCAGTTTACTTCTGATTTTGCATTTGAATTTCATTATTTTTTGACCTATAATAGTACCTTGTATTTCATTTTTAATGGAATTATATCTCTTTTCCAGGTTGTGTAATAGCTGAACTTTTTACAGAAGGTGTACCACTATTTGATCTCTCCCAACTTTTGGCTTATAGAAATGGACAGTTTTTCCCCGAACAAGTGCTAAATAAAATTGAAGATCGCAGTATCAGAGAATTGGTAACTATGCTACAAATATTTGTCATAGTTTTAAATAGAATTATGTTCTCACTTTGCGGTAATCAGCTCTTTGGAATGTTATGAATTTGGAGCAAAGCATTGAATTCTCAAGACTAATCAAATGACTTCTTTTTATTTTGTTAGGGAATTTTCTGCCTTTTCAGGCACAGAATTTATTTGTCTCAATTTCTTATCTCTGTCTCTGTCTCTCTCTCACACACACACCATTATAGTCTACAGATCTGCTCTGCTCTGGATTGATTTAGACAAAGGTAAAGAAGTACCTTGTAACTGGCTAGAAGAAATAAAAAAGATACATATTTACATATTTAAATTGAAGGAAGCAGGAGTTATGGATTTGGATAGGACCCTTTCATGCAGAAGCAAATAGCTTTGTGTAAATCCTTGATCCTGAGACAGTTCTGGAAAAGGGGCAATAAATAAGAGTCACACATCAGTCCAGCAGAATCAGGATGTAGACCTCTTGGGAGGTAACAGATGCTTTATACCCATGTTATTGTTTTGACTCTGTATAGTAATTAATGCTTGAGTCATGAAAAGGCATACAATTAAAATTAAAATTTTAGTACAGTAGTCTTCAACCTTTTTAGGCCTTCAGACCAGTAGTTGAAAACCAGTCTCAGAAAACAGATATTAATAAAGATAAGATTTTTTAGCTCCTAAGCATTGAAGTATTCTGGGTTAGGAATTGGTGTACCTGATTGTCTGCCTTTGATGTATTGCTCACTTGTCCTATTATAATAGCTAAGTCACTTGTGGTATTTTATTTGGTGGGGGCTGGGCCATAATCAGCAGTGCTCTTACGAATCATTCCAGGTGGGGTCAGGGGACCACCTGAGGTGCTTGGGATTGAACCTGGGTTGGTTACATGCAAGGCAAGTGTATTATCTTTCCAGCTCAAGCCTATATTAACTGTGAAAGGAATTAATTTGACCAATTTTTAAAGTTTAATTGAAACATAAAGCAATTTTTTAAATTTTTTTTGCTTTTTGGGTCACACCAGGCAATACTCAGGAGTTACTCCTGGCTTTGCACTCAGGAATTACTCCTGGCAGTGCCCAAGAGACCATATGGGATGCTGGGAATCGAACCCGGGTTGGCCGCGTGCAAGGCAAACGCCCTACCCGCTGTACTGTCACTCCAGCCCTGAAATGTAAAGCAATTCTTAAACTGCCTTTTCTTATTTATACTATATTTGGTTCCCTTGAGTTCAATGCTAGGCATTTATTTACAGTATAAACTGACCAAAGAAGTGTAAACTCAAAATTTTTTTAATACTATTTTGAGTTTTTAAAAATAATTACAAATATACTATAATAGTTTAGGAAAGATTAAATCCTGCTCTGTAGATCGGGAAAAACATTTTTCCATATGATGGCATTATGTTAAAATAAGATAAAATCAAATCAGATATTTCTGATGTTAGCAGGACTTAAGTTCCCTCTTATATTACAAAAAGTTTAAACCATAAAAGTATCCTTTTTTTTTTTCCCTTTGGTTTTTGGGCCATACCTGTTGGTGCTCAGGGCTTACACGTGACTCTGTGCTCAGGGTCATTCCTGCTTAGCCTCAGGGGCACATTTCAGGTATAGGGAGTTGAACCCTGGTTGACCATGTGCAAGGCAGGTGCTTTGTCCTCTGTATTTCTTCTTCAGTGCCTGAAATATCTTCTTTTTTTAAAAAAAATCAATCAAACAATATTATTGATACGTGGTTTCAGTGGTGATAATAAATTTACTTGATCAGGAGATAATAATTATATCAAAAGAATGAAATATATTTTTAATTGGATACGAGAGGTTACACTTAGGTTACCCCATAGAGTCCCTTAGGGTTGTAGTTATGACAATCTAAACCAGATTCTACTATGTAAATGAATTCCATAGGTTCTGATTCTATTTGGAATTGTGTGCAAATTAAAAACAGTGTGTATACGTTTTTCCCTGGTGAAAATTCCATTGCTCTTCTTGAATTTTTTGAGGTGCCTCCTGCTCAGAAAGGGGCTGGCGAGTTAGTACAGTAATTTAAGTACTTGCCTTGTAGGCTGCTGACCCCAGTTTGATCCTGGGCTCAGCATCGGTTGCCTGAGCAATGCCAGGAGTGATCTCTGAGCACAGAGACAGGTGTGAGGCCTGGGCATTGCCAGGTATGGTCTAAAAACAAAAAAATTCTTCACTTGGTGGTGATAGTGTATTAATGAATGGTGGAATAAATATGTACATGTCTTGAAAAATACATAATGTTGAAGAATATCTCCTTTTGTACCTGGGCACAAAAGTACATATGTACAAAATAAAGTATATATGTAATATGTTACTTGGTAATTTCTTTTGCTTTCTAGTCATACATTTTTCAGTAATCAGGTTCTGAAAGTAGATTGAGAAGTGAACATTGGAAAGTAGATGGAGAGGTGAATGTTGGAAATCTTGAAAATCCTTTTTTTTTTTTCTTTTTGGGTCACACCTGGCGATGCACAGGGGTTACTGCCGGCTCTGCACTCAGGAGTTACTCCTGGCGGTGCTCAGGGGACCATATGGTATGCTGGGAATTGAACCTGGGTCGGCCGTGTGCAAGGCAAATGCCCTACCCACTGTGCTATCTCTCCAGCCCTTGAAAATCCTTTAAGGCACGTGTTATTTATTTTTGGTTTGGGAGTTACCCCTAGCTGTGTTCAGGGCTTGCTCTCGCTCTGTGCTCAAGGATCATTTCCAGGGGGGCTCATGGGACCATATTGGGTGCTAGGGATCATGAGTCAACCATGTGCAAGGCAAGTGCCCCAAGGTTTGTGTTATGTTGTCTTTGTGGCTCTCATCTGATGTAGTTTGCTGTTCTCAGATCGACTCTCTCTTTCCCCGTTGTTACAGGTAACTCAGATGATTCACCGTGAGCCAGAAAAACGTTTGGAAGCAGAAGATTACCTTAAGCAGCAGCGCGGCAATGCCTTTCCTGAAATATTTTACACTTTCCTCCAGCCCTACATGGCCCAGTTTGCCAAGGAAACATTCCTGTCCGCAGACGAGCGTATTCTGGTAATACGGAAAGATCTGGGCAACATCATTCACAATCTCTGTGGACCCGATCTGCCGGAAAAAGCAGGAGGAGAGCCTAAAGAAAATGGTCTGGTCATCTTGGTGTCTGTCATAACGTCCTGCCTCCAGACCCTTAAATACTGTGATTCCAAGCTTGCTGCTTTGGAACTTATTCTCCATTTGGCTCCACGACTAAGCGTAGAAATCCTTTTGGATCGTATTACTCCGTATCTTCTGCATTTCAGCAATGATTCTGTTCCCAGAGTCAGGGCCGAAGCCTTGAGGACATTGACTAAAGTTCTTGCTCTTGTGAAAGAAGTTCCGCGGAACGACATCAATATCTATCCGGAATATATTTTGCCAGGCATAGCCCACTTAGCCCAAGATGATGCTACTATTGTTAGACTAGCCTATGCAGGTAAGGATTTATTGTTCAAGCAATACCTGCTCATAGTTTTTTTTTTCTTTTTTCTTTTTGGGTCACACCCGGTGATGCACAGGGGTTATGCCTGGCTCATGCACTCAGGAATTACTCCTGGTGGTGCTTGGGGGAACCATATGGGATGCTGGGAATTGAACCCAGGTCAGCTACATGCAAGGCAAATGCCCTGCCCACTGTGCTATCTCTCCAGCCCCTACGTGCTCATAGTTTTATAGTTAGTGATTCTAATACTTTATGGATTTCTGATTTCTTTGAGAATTTCAAGCGCGAACTCTGCCTCCTGAAATATTCATATTTATTTTTGTAGTATTTATACCTCAGCTTTTCCTTGAAATGAACTTTTGTGTATCTCTCATTTTTTGAAGTGATCGGAATTATCAAATTAAAAGTATATAATAGACAATTTAGGATTTTACTGGGTGGATTATATATGCTTTGTAGACAGATTTTTTTTTTCTGATCCAGTGTTTTTAGGCTTTTATATTTTTAAAACAAATACAATGGTTTGAATATTAGTTTTGGCATATAACATTTATGTTACTGTTGAAAAGTATAATTTTTCTTGGTAATTCGATGTTGAAAGAACCTAGCCTGCTAATAAATTTCTTTAAAGGTCCTTTTTAGTTATGTAATATTTAGGCTGTATGGCTTCTTTGTAATACTCTACCTATACTTTTAACTCAAAATCAGGTGTTACAGATGAATAATTTTTGACCTCAAAATTAATTCTAGATGCTTATTTCTGAAGGTAAAACATAATTGAAATGTTCTGCACAGTTCTACAATTATTTCTATGAGTGTAATCTGATAGTAGATATTCTGTGTTGTAGTCTTTAGTGATGTTGTCCCTTTTTAGGAAAGATACTTGCTTTATTTTATAATTTGCTTGTTGTTATTTTAGTAGAATGTGAAAATTGGTCTTTGGACTCTGAGCTTGTCCTTAGGCAGATCTACAAAGTTGTTAGAGGTTTTTTTTTTCTTTCTTGAAAACAGCAATTTTAAGCAAAGTCCATACAACCAAAATAGGTTATAGAATAATGCCATTTTGTTCAGTGTGCACTAGGATTTCTTTTTTCTTACCAGCTTTATAATGAAGACAAAGTTAAAACATTACATCTGTTAGACGTGTATTTTAATTTTAATCCACCTGCCTATTTCTGGTTTCTAGTTTCCATTAGTGTATACAGATATAAGCTTTAGACCTCAGAATTAAGACACATTTGAGTTTATCATTTGTAACAGAACATTTATAATTCATATAGCAAATATAAATAATTGTACCAAATAAAAGAAGGAAAAGTTTTTAGGGCTTAAGCATAAGCTGATTCTTTAGAGCCTGATGACTCTGGGTATCATAGTTCATTTCTCAATGAGGTTAAATATAGGTTCAGTTCTGATTTGTAGCTGCTGTGAACAGCATACAGTTGACCCTTGAACAGCAAGGGTTTGAACTGTGTGGGTCTCTTTACATACTGATTTTTCCCACATTTACAGATTGAACTAGTTTGCATATATGAAAAAATGAGATATGGGTGACTGACTTTAAGTGAAACTTGGATTGTTGGGTGTACAGGGTTGGTGCTTTCACATTGCTCAAGAATCAACTGCTGTTATTGAGTTACTAATAGAGCATAAAAATAATCACTCTGTTTAGTGTAACCTTACATGTTACAAGGGTTGTTAAAATAACATTTAAAATTTTTTTATAGCTTTTTAAAAAAATATGGAGATGCTTATATAGATGAATAACGTGTCGACTTTTGAGAGTATTGACTTAAGAATTTAGATGGGGAAATAAGTTTAGAGCTGTTCAGACTTCAGAGGTGCCCAGGAAAGTTAGAGACTTTTCTTAATAAAGATTTGTTCATGACAGTGGGGATATTCATCTAGAATTTGACTAACCAGAGATTGAATTAGAATTCCCCCATCTTTAGGCTGAGCAGGATATCAACACCTTGCTCACTTGGAGGTAAACATTTGTTCTGTTCAAAATAGAGTGGAACCTGGCAGGGGTGGGGAGTTGGACATCAAGATGTGGAAAATTGCTGCATTTGCTAACCTCGGCTATTCAAGATAATTATTAATTTCAGAGGTTTACAACTGATAAAATTAGGTAGCTAAACTTTTTGTCCTATGTTGTTCACTGGAAGAAGCTTGTGGATTCTGATCCAAATGCTTTTGTTAAGAAGCACAGAAGTGAGAAGATAGGAGTAAATCTAGAAGAAGGTATAAGCAAAGAACAAGCAGACAGGCTTGGTAGCAAATGCACCTGTAGAAATATGTAGGTGTTTTCCCAGAGCCGAGGAGGATCAGACAGTCTCGGGTTATGGGACAGAATGGAGCAAATGTAGACCCCAGCAGAAGTGTGACTGCTTTCTGCCTGGCTTCCCCAGACTTTGGGGGTATTGCTTGCCAAGCTCTCTAGAAGTGGTTCGTTCAGTTTGGAAATGGCTCTTTGAGGTAGATATGACTCATATATGTATAAAGAAACAGACTCCTGGTAGCCAGCTAGTTTTGGCGGGGGTGGGATTTGATCCGAGGGTCTGTGAATCCAGAACTCACCTTGATCTGCTATTTTGTCTGTTTTTGTTTTGGGGTCTTACTTGGTGGCTGTGCTTGGATTTCAGTTCCTGGTTCTTGCTTGGGTGTGGGACCTGGGGAGGCAGATCACTCCTGGCAGTTGTTGGTTACCAGGTGGTGGATCTGATCTGGACCTCTGACACACAAAGCATGCATTCTCGTCCTTTGAGCTCTCTTCCCCACCTGGAGCTGTAATTTTATTTATTTATTTTTTATTTTTTTGGTTTTGGGCCAGACCTGGCATTGTTCAGGGCTTCTTCCGCCTGGCTCTACACTCAGGGATCCTTCCTGGCAGGCTTGGGGGACCATATGGGGTGCTGGGGATTGAACCCAAGTCAGCCATGTGCAAGTCAAGCCTGCTGTACTTGACGCCAGCCCCTTGATCTGGGATTTTGTGATTTTTTTTTTTTTTTTTTTTGCTTTTTGGGCCACACCCGGCAATGCTCAGGGGTTACTCCTGTCTCTGCACTCAGGAATTACCCCTGGCGGTGCTCAGGGGACCATATGGGATGCTGAGATTCGAATCTGGGTTGGCTGCGTGCAAGGCCAACACCCTACCCGCTGTGCTATCGCTCCAGCCCCGATTTTGTGACTTTTTACTATATGTGCAGTGGGTTCAAACCTGGGTCAGCCACATGTAAGGCAAGCCTGCTTTGTCCTAGGGCTCCGGCCCCTTGGTCTGTAATTTCAGTGTGACTGTTTCTGTTTAATGTCAAGATACTTGTTTAAAGGGTAGGTATCTGTAGCAAAATGAAGTTTTTTGTTTTAATTTCCTCAGTTGATTTGAATGCTGTATTTGGGGTAGGGTGTTTTTTTTTTTTTTTAAATGCTCATCCTAGGACTGAAGAGGTAGCTGGATCCTCTTGAGCACATACATTGTATGCAGAAGGCCCAGGCGTGGTCCCTCCTACAGTGAAATTCTGCCAGGAGAAGCTCTGAGCGCCACTGGGTGTGGCTCAAAGACCAGGTCAACAACAACAACAACAACAACAAAATGTTTATGTGTCATTATTTATTTATTTTATGTGTTATTATTAAAGCCAGCAGTTGGGGGATAATTATAGGTAAGAGAGGAGTTATTACAAATCTCACTAGGCTAAAAGCACCAAATTGTAGAGTCCTACTTCTCCTTAGTTTTTTTTTTGTTATGTGTATGTGTAAAGACTTACATGCATTACTAACATACTAGTGGCTACAAATTTTCTCCCTTTTATCTCATAGAAAACATAGCTCTGCTGGCAGAAACAGCTTTGAGGTTCCTGGAACTAGTACAGTTAAAAAATATCAACATGGAAAATGACCCAACTAGTGAAGAAATAGATGCAGTTACGCATCCCAATGGAAATTATGACACAGGTAGTGTGATTTTTCTCTTCATGTTTCTTGTTAATTTCAATATAGTTGCCAAATGCAATGGATAAGCCTGTCATTTATTATTTTCATGAAAGAAGGAAGAATACTAGATTATAGTTGGGTAAAGTCCCTCATTTTTGGTTGTTCTTTCTATTCTCATACCCTGTTTTCTAGCCAGAAAATGATCTTCTTGTCACCACAGGTTCTAAATTCAATTGTTTTTCACCCAGAACTGATTTGTGGCAACAGTAAAGCTAGCTGAATTCTCTAATTCTGGTAAGAAAAGAGGGAAAACAAATGGAATCATCATAGCTAGAGTCTTTTAAACCTTTTGTCCTTAACGCCAGTATATTCTGAGTATTCTCATTGATAACCTGTTTATTTCATACTGTCTAATGTACATATCAAACCCATGTCATTTACTGTAAAGGAACAGTCATAATAATAAACTATCTTGAGGTTAGGGGTCCTGTCTTAAGTTTCTTTTCAGCCGCATGATTCTGAGCAGTTTGTAGTTCATTTTTATTGGGTGAAAAACTAAATAACATTCAGATCTGTTTCAGAGTGGTTTTAGTTATGAAAAATCGGAAAACCTAGTGTCAGATTTTTGTGCCACAGACAGCTGTTGTTAGAAAGGTGTGATTTTTAGGCAGAACCTATAATTTGGAATTGAAGACTGGGATAATTCTCATATGGTAATGTAGAGGAATGCTTTTTTTCATGGAAGTCCTTAGAGAACATAAAACGGTTTTGCATTTGATGTCATGCAGTTGCACCCTTTTAGATAACGAAGGTTGAACCCCGCGTGACCTCTACCCTCGTTTATTCCTCCAGTGGGGAATTAAGGTCTGCGTCAGGCAACCCAGTTCTGGCTCTCAGCCCCTAGGGTACAGTGATGAATCTGACATGAGATAACCTATCCTTGAGCTTGTATCTCAGGAAGGGAAAGATGGACAAATAAATAAATGAAAAGGGTAGGGCTGGGTTAAAAAACAAGGCGGGAGAAGAAGTCTGTGTCCAGATCATGTAAAAGCCTTTTTAGACTGTGCCATTTACTTTCTGGCTTTCTAAAATATGTCAACTTTTTAAAATGTTTTCTAAAAATGTCCCCCTGGACTTTTAGGTTTTATTTATTTTTTTATTTTATTATTATTTTTTTTCTTTTTGGGTCACACCTGGTGATGCACAGGGGTTACTCCTGGCTCTGCACTCAGGAGTTACTCCTGGCGCTGCTCAGGGGACCATATGGGACGCTGGGAATCGAACCCGGGTCGGCTGCGTGCAAGGCAAACGCCCTACCCGCTGTGCTATCTCTCCAGCCCCAGGACTTTTAGGTTTTAAATTCAGGGCTGCAGCACTGCTTCTGCAGGTCCTAAACGCTAACCTAGTAGGCCTAGTATTCACCAGGAGTTGTCCAGGGGGCCCTTGAACTCTTCTGGGAGAATCCTCACACCCCAGATTCAGATAATAGCCCAAATTAATTGAGTATTTTTAAATAGGTACTCAACTATAAGTTCATTTTATTAGGCAGAATGCTATCCTTTCTACTGCTTCCCTGTGAACTTCTCCTAGAAGTTCTTTAGCCCCCTAGCTAGAGCTCAGTACTTAGTGAAATATTGCGGCATCTGCTTATTAGGGTGTCCTTCAGTTTGTATTTTATTTTGCTCATTTGTATGTCCAAACCTTGTATAGTGCGGAGAGTTAGTAATGACAGACTTTCTTGGTGGCTTCTGTGATTGTTTTCTGAGGCCTGGGAAGAGACTGGGTCTGTATACTTGGGTCTAAATGAATAAATGGATCTGACTTTCCTTTTCTTTCCTTTATTTTTTTTTGTTTTTCAGAACTCCAAGCCTTACATGAAATGGTCCAGCAGAAAGTTGTCACCTTGTTAAGTGACCCTGAAAATATTGTGAAACAAACCTTAATGGAAAACGGAATAACAAGGCTGTGTGTATTTTTTGGCCGCCAGAAAGCCAATGATGTTTTATTATCTCACATGATAACTTTCCTCAACGATAAGAATGACTGGCACCTCCGTGGGGCTTTTTTCGATAGTATAGTTGGTACGTTTGTTTCCAAATTCCTGTTTAAGATTTTGGATTATCCATTCAATTTGTTTTGAGTATTTCTGTTTTTAATTTGCACGTGGATAACAAAAGTATCTCAGCTGACAAGGGATTGGTTAAACTGCTACATGCATGGGGAGGAGGGAATATCATGCTGTCATTGAAGATTGTCTTGAAAAGAAGTCTAGGCATGGGGCTGGAGCAATAGCACAGTGGGTAGGGCGTTTGCCTTGCACGCAGCAGACCTAGGTTCGATTCCCAGCATCCCATATGGTCCCCCGAGCACCGCCTGGAGTAATTCCTTAGTGCATGAACCAGGAGTAACTCCTGTGCATCGCCGGGTGTGTCCCAAAAAGAAAAAAAAAAAGTCTAGGCACACTAATTCAGGATGTGTAACTGCTCTGCTTTATGGGACCCCACCCCCCTTTTCTCTTTCTCCTCTCTCCTCTCTTCTCTCTGCCTCTCTCCTCTATCCTCTCTCCTCTATATATCCTCTCTTCTCTCTTACCTGTCTCTCACTTCCTCTTCTCTCCTTGTCTGTGTGTCTCCTCTTTTCTCTCTCTGTCTCCATAACCGTCTCTCTCTCTCCCCCCCCCCCGTCCTCCCTCCTTTCTCTCACTTTCTCTTCTCTCCCTGTCTCTGTTTCTCTCTCTCCTCTCTCTTCTCTCTCTCTGTCTTCGTCTCTCCCCCACCTCCTCTCCTCTCACATTTCCTAAATATAGTATCCAAAACATCAAAGAATATTAATGACCTGGGAAAGTGCCATGGAATATCACTCGAGTGACTGAAATGGATGGCAGATCTCAATTCTGATTGTTCTCACTGTTGAAAGGTGACAGTAACAAATCATTTAGTTTCTAAAACTGGCCAGAATGTCCCACCCTGTCGGCGGTGATTGTGTCTGGGCCTGTGATTGCAGGAGATTAAAAAAAAATACTTCTGGGGGCTGGAGTGATAGTACAACTGGTCGGGCACTTGCCTTGCACACTACTGACCTGGGTTCAGTCCCCAGCACCCCACATCGTTCCCTGAGCTTGCCTGGAGTGACACTGAGCACAGAGCCGTGAGGAAGCCCTGAGCACACTACCAGGTGTGTCTCCAACCCCCCCCCACCCGTCCCCCCCACCCTCCATACTTTTTGTACTTGTCAGATTTTCTATTAAAGACATGCATATTGGGGGTGGCGAAGTAGTACGGATAGTATAGCGGGTAGGGTGCTTGCCTTGCACAAGGTCAACCTGGGTTTGATCCCCATCATCCCATATGGTCCCCCGAGCATCCCATATTATTACCCCAGGAATAATTTGTGAGTGCAGAACCCCTCAGCACACCTAGGTGTGGCCTAAAACAAAGCACCCCCCCCCAAAAAAAAACCCCAAAACAATAAAAAATGCATCTCTTACTGCCAGAAAAAAAATTTTAAAAACATTTTGTTTGTGTCAAGTGAAAAAGTTGTGAAGATAAAGTAGCATTTTTGGCTGCTGTTTTAAAATTGTCGCACTTTTAAATTTTCAATGATCTAAGGAGAGATACCTTGTATTTATGCTACTCCTATTATATTTAAATTTAAAATTCGAAGGAAAAGTGAAATTTAATTTGAGTGAATAAGTGATATTTGACATAGAATTAGTTTCTTCTTCTGAACGACATTGGATCATGTTCTACCTCAGAGTACTGGTCAGCTTTATATTTGGTCAGTTAGGAAATAGTATAAGCCATTTCTTTTGTTTTATTTTGCTTTTCTTTTGGGGGCCTCTGGGGCAGTGCCTCGCCAGTACTCAGGAGGTCTGGGGACCCCCTCTGTGATTCTCAAGAGGTTCCACACAAGGGCCAGAGGATGCGAAGTTGCCCTGACATGCAAGGCCAGATGCATTCCGTGGGGGTTGGGGGGCCTTTAGGCTCCCTCGCTGCAGTGCTGGTGGCCGCTGTGGCTGCGCCTGGTAGTGCTCAGGGAACTGTAGGGAGCTGGGAATTGAACCTGGATCAGGTGCATGCCAGGCATGTGCCTTCCCTGTTAACACTATCTCCTGGGCCCATTTTTGTTCCTTTTCTTTTTCTTTTTGCGCTTTGATAATTCAGCTCCTGTGCTCAGTCTGTTGAGTTCTCTCTCCAGTGCTCAATAAATTTTGCCTGACATTTAAACCAGCAGTTGTTTTTTGATAATGTTCATGTTCCACTCTGTAATACCATCTTTTTTGTGCCATTTTAGAGATTGGTTTTGTAAAGGCAAAACAAAATGTAAATGGTTGTGAATGTGTAAATTGTATTAACCTTAGAACCATGTAATGTATTGTTTACATATACTTCACCACTCTTCACGGTCAGTAGATTCTCCATTCTATCTTCCATTGCTAATTACTAAATACATTTAAATTTTTTTAAAGTCATTATCATTACTTCCTTGAACAATTTTTTGTTTGTCTGGGATTTCAAATCCCTCCCCCATTTTTTTTTTTTCCTTTTAGAGATAATAGTAGAATTGAGGATTTAATTCAGTAGTAGAGCATCTACCTTTTAGGTTCAGTCCCCAGCCCTGAAAAAGGAAAACAAAACCCTTTCTACATGTATAATATTTGCCTTTATTAGCAATTTAATCTGTTTATAGTAGCCTGTTCTGTTTTTTTTCCCTCAGAATATTAGCTTTCAGTTCTAATATGGGTTGATTGGTTTCTAGATTTTTGGGTATCTACTTATCCTTCCTTGAATTCCTAGGTTATGTCTACTGTTTAATACAGCCTGCTTCTTTATTTTGCTGGAGTATTTTCTCAAGAAGTTTTCCTAGAGATGTATGGGAGGTACACCTTTAGAGTCCTTGAATGTCTCAAAATGATTTATTTTTGTTGCCTTACTATTTTGACCGTTCGGCTGTAGGTTTCTTTCTCGGTTGTGAAGGCTTTCCTCTTTTGTGTTACAGCTTCCATTGCTGCTGCAAATCATTTCAGTGGCTCTGTATTTAATTTTCTGCCAGTTTGTAGAATCGTTTTTTTCCCCCTATGGAATTTCAGAAACTTCTTGATGATTTGCTTTGGTGCAAGTTTTTTTTTAAATATATTGTGCTAGGTAGAAAGTATGATATGAAGTATTTTCCTTTTTAATTGCTTTTAATTAACAGAATTTTAAGTTACTCAGCTTCTTACATTATTAGATACAGAATAATTTGTGTAGTTTTCTGTTTTTCAGGTGTTGCTGCCTATGTTGGCTGGCAGAGCTCCTCAATTCTCAAACCTCTGTTGCAACAAGGCCTTAGTGACGCTGAGGAATTTGTCATTGTCAAAGCTCTGAATGCCCTCACCTGTATGTGCCAGTTAGGGCTGCTACAAAAACCACATGTGTATGAGTTTGCCAGTGATATTGGTAAGTTTCTGGTTCTCCAAGCCACAGTGGCAAAATTCGGGTGTGGGAAAACAGAGAACAATTGATCGGGGCTGGAGAGATAGCACAGCAGGTAGGATGCTTGCCTGGTTTGTGACCAACCCAGGCTCAATCCCCTGTGCCTTGTATGGTCCCCCCTGAGCCCTGCCAGGAGTGATCCCTGAGCACATAGCCAGAATTAGGTCCTGAGTACTGTCAGGTGTGATTCAAACAAACCAAAACAAAAAACTCCTCATAAGCCTCTCTCCCGCCACCCTCCACCCCCCTCACTCTCCCTCTGGTCCCCTATAAAAAGCATTGCAAGTTTTTGGGTAATAGAGAGTCTTATTTTCAGTTTTATTGCCCTTGTTGTGTGGCTGTCTGTGTATATCCGTGCATGCATGTATGAGACAGCCAATAAATAGGATCATTTGGGCTAGAGATAACCCAAGTTAGGAGGTATGCCTTTGTTTTAATCTGGAGTGAAGTCTGTGCTCCTTGAAAAATGAAGCTTCAGATTTGTCCTTCTTTTTTATTTGATACAGTTAGTTGTTGCTCTGAGGAATATTGTCTTAAGCCCATGATTACTAGGGAAGTGGAAATCTACTCTGAAGAATGGTCACTGGTCAGTGCAGTTTGCTAGTTACAGATGCCTAGTATTGAACTTGCTGCTGTTAGTAATTTAAGTTACTGATAAAAGGACTTATTTCCTTGACCTTTATAGTATTTATTTGATATGAGGGAGCAAATTAAGATTTAGAGTAAGACGAGCACACAAATAAACACATTAAGATTGTCTATACTGGGCTGGAGCAATAGAACAGCGGGTAGGGCATTTGCCTTGCATGCAGCCGACCCAAGTTCGATTCCCAGCATCCCATATGGTCCCCCGAGCACTGCCAGGAGTAATTCCTGAGTGTAAAGCCAGGAGTAACTCCTGTGCATCGCCGGGTGTGACCCAAAAAGAAAAATAAAAAAGATCGCTTGTACTGAGAACATATGAGAGCTTCGAAATGGGATCTTTAGGTAAAATACTTGTTACTTAATGCTTTTCAAGAAAAGCAAATTGAAGCCAAATAGGTTACCATCTACCTATATCTATCTATCTATGAATAATTTTTTTTTCCTCCTTGAGGAAGTCTTCAGGAAAAGAAAGATAAGGAGTTTTGGTTGTTGAGAAAAATGAATGGTTGATATGTGTAAAAATTTCAAGATATTTGACTGGAGCATAGTATAGAGGGTACGCACTTGCTTTGCATACAACTTACCCAGGCTTGATTCCTGGCATCCCATATGGGCCCCCAAGCACCACCAGATATGCTTCCTGAATGCAGAGCCAGAAGTATCTCCTGGTGTGGCCCTTCCCCACCCCCTACAAAACAATAAAAATTTCAAGGTGTGAGGGTAGCTTTAAAAAAACCTCATGGAACATATAAATGCACATTGTTTTATTATTTATTATTTTAATATTTACAGTTATTCCCCTTACTATTCCCCTACTCCATTTCTTTATATCCCACGCATGAGAGAAATTGTTCTTTCTGTCCCTCTCCCTCTGACTGATTACACAAAGTATGGTAGTTTCTAGATCCATCCAGGTAGCAGAAAATTGCATGATTTAATCTTTTCTTACAGCCAAGTAGTATTCCATTGTGTATATATACCATAGTTTCTTTGTCTACTCATCTGTTTTTGGACACTTGGATTATTTCCAGATTTTGGTTATTGTGAATAGTGCTGCAGTGAACATAGGAGGATATATTCTTTTAACTTGTAACCCTAATTTGGTTTAGTTTTTTTTATAATTATGTTAAAATAATTGCAGATTTAATACAAAAGTGTTGAGTGTTGTCAATATAACCTTAAGGCGTTACACTGAAGTGTTTCCCCTTCTCCCCCATCTAAGCTACAGAGTGCTGAAAGAACTTGGGAACCTAAAATTATTAGTATTAAAACAAAAATTATTAGAACTTTTAAACAATATCTGGTATAATGTGGTGTGAGGTAGAGAAAGCATCTTTTCAGTAATAATATGTGGGGGGGGGGGATACATCATCTTCACTGTCACTGTCCTCCCGTTGTTCATCGATTTGCTCAAGTGGGCCCAGTAACCTCTCCATTTTGAGATTTTGAGACTTGTTGTTACTGTGTTTGGCATATTGAATATGTCATGGGTAGCTTGCCAGGCTTTGCCATGCAGGCGAGATACTCTTGGTAGCTTGCCAGGCTCTCTGAGAGGAGCGGAGGAATTGAACCCGGCTCAGCTGGGCTGGCTGCATGCAAGGCAAACGCCCTACCACTGTGCTATTGCTTTAGCCCACATCATCTTAACATGCATATATTATTACATGGAATATGGTGTTATCTTTCAGGGGTCAAGTTCTCTTGCTTTTGGTTTTGATCTTTATTTTAACGAATAGCCCATATATGTACTCTTAATTTCACAAAATACGTTTTTTCTGTCCTGATTATTTGAAAATTAATTTTGAAATATAATGTAGTCTGTAATTAACATTTTATTTACCGGGAAAATGATTGCCCATCAAATTTTAAGGATAAATCAAAGAAATTTTGTAGAGAATATTTTGGGACTGCTGCCTCTTTTTTTTTTTTTTTTTGGCTTTTTTGGGTCACACCCGGCGTTGTTACTCCTGGCTCTGCACTCAGGTATTACTCCTGGTGGTGTGGCCGCGTGCAAGGCAAACACTGTACCCGCTGTACGTTAGCTGTGGCCCCTGCTTCTTTTTTTTGATCATAGATTAGGGCACTCATGTATCTTTACGTCAACATCAAAGTGTAAAGTGTAAATTATCTGTAAATATAGAATAAAACCAGTATAGTACAACTTACTGAATGTAGAATTCTTTTAGAATTGGAATTCTAAAGGATTTGTTTAGAGTTTGTTACCAACTTTGGCGGGGGACAGGGGCTTGTTGAGAAAAATCAAATAAACTGGGTTTTTTGTCTTTCATTTTTCTACACACTTTAAAAGAAAGAAGTTTTTCATTTAACTTAGGAATTTACTTTCTGAAATCAAAGGGATATACTGTCTGAATTTACTTACCAGTTAATCGAAGGACAGATTTTACAGCTCTCTGTAGTTCTGTGTTTAAATCTTAAATAGTTTCAGTGGTTATTACAGTGAATTGTGTGGTAGTGATTTCTTTAGTAGTTTGTTGAAATACGGTACCCTTCACATAGGTGGTAAGCATGTTTAACTTTTGTGCTTTTCCAGAGAATGAGAATATGTCGAGGGTGGTGAAGGAGTGTTGAAAGTACTGCTTTGTATAGATAGAGTGTTAACTAGAATTCATCTGCCCCACAGGCATTGGGGGGGTGGTTATTGGGGTTCTTCATGGTGAAAAATAAGTATTGGTAAAGGGAAATGTGATTGATATTTGCATGACCGAGACCTAAACCTGAAAGCTTTGTAACTTTTCCCACAGCGATTCAATAAATAAAAAAGAAAGTACTGCTTTGTAGGAAATCCTCCTACCCCCTCTTCCTTCCTTCCTTCCTTCCTTCCTTCCTTCCTTCCTTCCTTCCTTCCTCCCTCCCTCCCTCCCTCCCTCCCTCCCTCCCTCTCTTCTCCTTCCTTCCTTCCTTCCTTCCTTCCTTCCTTCCTTCCTTCCTTCCTTCCTTCCTTCCTTCCTCTCTTTCTTTCTGTTTGGGGGGGCTGTGTCAGTTTCCCACACTGATACATTAGTACCCTACAGTCAGCCCATATCTCTGTAGGTGCTCCAGTAAATTTCCCACCACACAGCTGTGGGCTTCATGATGGTGAATCTGCCTTCAACTTTGCTTTTCCGGATCATGTTTGGTGCCTGCCCCAGCTGTCTCACTTGGGGCCACTGGGGCCCAGATGATGCTTTGGCTCATGGCAGCAGTGCAGGAGGGCAAGCTTCTCTAGGCAGCAAACCTCTCTAGGCAGCATCTTTTAAGCTTCTCTCTGTGTGATCCTTGCTACCATCACACTGGCCAGAGCAGACCTTAAGACTGCAAGGGGCAGCCAGGGGCAGAGAATATTAGCCTTTGGTACCAGGAGCCTCTAGTCAGAGTGGTTGTATAATATCCTGTTACATAAAGAATTGAAGCCAGCGATTCAGCCTCCAAGGTGCCTGACTCCTGCCTGGCCTTTTTTTGGACTCAGTTACTTTGTGGAGATTTTGAAATGTTTTTCCAGTCCTCATTTTCCCATTGCCAGACCACAAGCACCACCTCTTCACCCCCAACCCTGCTCTTCTGTTGGGTATCTCAGAGGCTATAGACTGTCATGGAATAGCATTTTCATGTGTCACTAGAATTGGAAATGGGAGAACTTTGGAGACATAGTTTGAACATACTTCCCCATCCTATGTTTATATAAATAATGTTAACAGGTGAACGTATTTTTATTTCTTTCTCAGCATGAATTTCTCTTGAGGGGAGGTTGGATCACTTCTGTTGGTGCTCATAGGGGTATTCCTGATTCTCTGTTCAGGAGTCACTTCTGGTTGTGCTCAGGGGACCATTATCTAGTGCCAGGGATCAAATGAGGGTTGACTATGTGCAGGGTAAGTGCCCTACCTCCTGTACTGTTTCTCCACCCCCTGCCTTGAAGTTCTTAGTAAATTAATAACTTTGCTCAAAATGCTAATGTTTTTGCATGTCAGAGCTAATATTACATATTTTAATTTTGTGTTTTTACTGAGGTATCATAGTTTACGATAGTAGTGAAGTCCTTTTATAGTATGGAGTTTGAATTTTATTCTAAATCAGTTTAAAAGTTTCAGTTTTGTTCTGTATCTTCAGTTGGTTGAAATCACTGAGTTTAGGTTTGGTACGCAAAATAGTTAAGACAGTCATTTCATTTTTCTAGTTTAATCTTCAGTTTTAAACTCTTTAAGAATGGACATTGCCTTTTCTGCTTTTAGTTTTTGTCCTGGATGCCTGTGAATGGAGAAGTGTGATGGGTGATAATGTTCCCTTAATGTTAGTCTAGAGGAACCGGTTTGGCTCCTTTTCCCATGCGTGGTAGGTGTGTTCTGCACCTTCTGTGTGTGGGGGAGGAAGGGTTTGCTATATACCACTGCAACTTTTTTTGTGCCTTTCCAAAGTCTTTTTCAATTTTAAAGTTTGTTTCTGAAAGTTCCTTTTGGTGGGGCTGGAGAATGCCTCCCAGGCAGGGAGACTCAGTAATTCTTGCCCAGTAGGCCGGAGGTTCCATGCACGGCGGGCCCCGGTGAAGCTGCTCAGGCTGTGTGGTGCCGGGGGTTCCCGGGCCATCCCGGTGGTGCTGACTGTCCCCAGAGCTGCCCACCGAGAAGCCTGGGGGACCATGTGGTGCCCAACGTGGGCACATGTTATGCAGGTACCCCAGCGCTGTACTGTCTGCTGCCCCTTATTTCCCAAAGATTTTTAACCCCATGTTAGGAATGAGGAGATTCCCTGGCGATAATATGAAACCTTAAAAAGGAGGCTGCTAATTTTATTTTTTTGTGTTTCTGTTGGTACTTGCTGTAGAGGTACCCATAATGTTGTGTTCACTTAGTTGAGTTTACGTCTCAGGGCGACTGAGAGCACGTAGGCAGCTGATGAAAGCATTATGGTGGAAATGACTTGGATAATGCAGTTTGTGCCATCCCGTGAATGTGTGTTTATCCCGGTAATTTGGCACGGTTTGTGGATGGGACTTGATCCTTCTTTTCCTTTTTTTTTTTTCCTCCCTGTTTAGCTCCCTTCCTGTGCCATCCCAATCTCTGGATACGCTATGGTGCTGTGGGATTTATCACAGTGGTAGCTCATCAGATAAGCACCGCTGATGTCTACTGCAAATTGATGCCTTACCTTGACCCATATATCACCCAACCAATAATACAGGTATGCATGTCCCCATTTGGAATCAGGACACCACACTGCGCCACTTTTGAAAAAAAAAAAAAACACTAAGTTTAAAGGTTCAGTCATGTTTTAAAAATTTAACACAAACTACAACATTTTCATTCTTTTCAAATCAGTTAATGGAGCAAACACTTGAAGGTGAGACAAACTCAATAGCATATTGTTACACATAGGTACAATACTCAGTCATTCATACTTTATATGTGTGTGTGTAATGCTGTAAAGCGTCTGCTGTTAGGTTGACATACAGTCCAGCAGATATGTGTACTGATGACCCTCTGCTTTGTATTGTAAGAATTAGAACTATTGTCAGCCCAATTCAGCATTTATAACAAATTAGACAAAGCTTTTAAAAATTATTTGTGTGTGTGTGTGTATGTGTGTGTGTGTGTTTGTATGTGTGTGGGAGGGATGGCAGAACTATAGTACAGTAAGATGTTTGCTTTGCGAGTGTCTGACCTAGATTCGATCCTTGACATCCCATATGGTCCCCTGATCCCCTCCAGGAGTGATCCATGAGGCACCACCAAGGTGTTGACAAAAGACTAAAAAAAAAAAAATACCCAAAATGAATAAAATGTTTTGTTTAAAAAAAAAGAAAAATAACTGATAATTGCAACTGCTTGGGCTCTCTCTCTCTCTCTCTCTCTCTCTCTCTCTCTCTCTCTCTCTCTTCCTCCCTTCCCCCATACCTTTCTTCCTTTCTCCCTTTTTTCTTCCCTTTCTTTCTTTTTCACACTGTGACCTGGGACTGGGGAGTTAGGTTAGGGTATAGGCCTCGAATGTGCCTGACCTGAATTCAGTTTTTGACATCATCTGACCTCCGAATGTTGCTGATCTGTTGACCCCTTAACATTGCTGGGTATAGCCCCAGTGGCCCCTGACCTCTGCTCCGGTGGCCCTTGTGGTTCACAGGGTCCCAAGTGTCATGACATCCTGGGGATCTAGTGCTGAACTACCAGCCCAATTGGCCAAGTATCAAGGAATTGCCTCCCGACCCCTAATCACCACTTGGGAGGCTTCCCCCAAGCTGAGAAAAATCTAATGACCCTCACTCACCTCTACCCCGACCCCAGCAGTGGAACATTGATGGTGGGTTCTGTGTCTTTGGTTTATATGCTCAGCTTGCCAGTGCTTATGCCTCTTACCTCATTGAGGGTCAGCCAGCGATCATGGTGGCTATTTAAATTGGATAAAATTATGAGTGATGATTCTGTTTTTTAAGACATCCTGAAATGATTATATTTTTACTACAACTGTTTCCCTTTCGGAGATTCACTTGCCTCTCTGGTTTTCTTCCTTTATAATCCCGTGTGCTATGATCTTGCATTTGGTTGGAGAACTTGTCCTGGAGATTCTAGAAATAAGGGGGACTTTGGCTGTGCTGTTGGTCCTTAAATTGCCCCGTAGATCCATCCGTTTCTGGGTGTCATCCTTTCTTATTTGACAGAGTTCGTTGAATTTAAAATATTTACTCTGAGACAATTTATAGAGGAAAAGTGAATAATATCAATAGAAAACATATGTGTGTTCCCCCTGTCCCCCCTTTTAAATATTTATTAAAACTTCCTTGGAAATCAAATCTAGAGATTACTTTTACTTTTGACTGTTGATTCTATTTAGAAGTTTGTTGATTAAACTCTTACTGTATAGGGGCTGGAGAGATAGCACAGCGGGTAGGGCGTTTGCTTTGCACACGGCCGACCCGGGTTCGATTCCCAGCATCCCATATGGTCCCCTGAGCACCCCCAGGAGTGACTCCTGAGTGCAGAGCCAGGAGTAACCCCTGTGCATCGCCAGGTGTGACCCAAAAAGCAAAACAAAAACAAACAAACAAAAAATAACTCTTACTGTACAGTGTGGAGAAAGTGTACCTAGTATTTAAAAATCACATGCGTTTGCATAACTTTTAGCGGTGATTTACTATAATAAATGCAAAAATGGTTTGTTAGGAAACTGCACCAAAGTCACTTTGTTTTGTTTTATTTATTTATTTATTGCTTTTATTGTTTTATAGTTTAAAAAGCCAACATCAGCAATTTAGAAGCATATACTTATGCTTCTTAATTTTGTTTAAATTGGAGGTGAGATATCCTGGTTGTAGTGTTAATGTTTATGCTTCTGGTGTACAAAGTTACTGTATCTCTCTTACCACCAAGCTACCCAAGACTGTCCTCCTCTGTCCTAATATCACTCCTAGTCCACTTCCTTTCGCTCAGCTCTTCTCTCTGCACTGCTCGGGACCTTCAGGTCTGTGGTTAGAGTCCCCTGGTCTATTATCATTAGATATTGTCGGTTCCCTTGATTTGTTTCTTAGTGTACCACATAGCAGGACTGTTATCCTGTCCTTGTCCTTCTCCCGCTCACTTAGCAGGACCACCGCCGGCTCTACCCAAGTCACAACCGGGCAACCTTTTTTCTGCCAAGAGTCATTCATAATACACCTGAAATTCCTCATCCACTCATGTCATTGATTTGGGTTGCTTCCAGATTTGGTTGTTAGTAAATAGCTGCTTCATAAGTCTTACCTCTTTACCATCTGGGTTATTCTGAAGATGCATCTTTATACTAGTTAAATATACCCACACTTACCAGTTAGTTAGTGCTTATCATGACTGAAGAGAAGCACCTATGACTATAAAGCATCTCTAATGATTGGTGTCTCTTGACTTTGAGGCCTGTGAATTGCAGGTATTTTGTAGATCTACGACATTATCTGACATTATTTTGGGATCTAGAAAAGGCCTCCATTTTCTAAATTCTGTCACCTGCATATTGATTTATTAGTTTCGTGGCCTGATAGACTTAGAGGCTAACCTTTAGATGTGTACTCGGGACTCAGGTGCGAACACCACAAAGAGAAAATACATGCTTGTTAAAGGTCACAACAATTCTCACTCCTTCTGAGCAAGAGTCGCAGATACTGATATTTCCTGTTTACTTAGAAAACAAATGTGTCATAGTCACTTTCTGCAGGTTGTACTGATGGAACGTGTCAAGAACTCTACTAATTGTTGTATCTGGTTGAGTCTTCTTTCCCCCCCCCCCACTGTAGATCGAAAGAAAACTTGTTCTACTCAGTGTTTTGAAAGAGCCTGTAAGCCGTTCAATATTTGATTATGCATTGAGGTCTAAAGATATCACCAGCTTGTTCAGGCATCTTCACATGCGTCAGAAGAAGCGGAAGGGGTCTCTTCCTGATTGCCCACCCCCTGAGGACCCTGCCATAGCACAGCTGCTGAAGAAACTGCTCTCACAGGTTGTATTCTCTTTTGAACTATTATTTTTTTTTTTTTAAGCCTTGAATAATTGAATTTACTATGTCAAGTGTAATTACCAATGGTTAAAAGAAATATTAAGCTCATACATTAAACAAATTAATGATTATCAATTCTTTTTTTCTGCTTATTACCTATGCTTACAAAAATACTAATTTGATGAACTATTATTTTTTAAGTGAGCATTTTATCTGCACATTAAGGCACCCTCCTAATTCTAAACATTTTTGGTGATTGAATTGCATCATGTATATCAATTGAATGAATAAATCTGACAGATATGATACTCTTTGTGGTCTAGGAAATGCTATATTATTGTGATTTTAAGGCATTTAGTTGCTCTAAAGATTAGGCACTGTACAGATGAATGAAAATAGATGTAATTTTAGGTTCAAGCAGTAGTCATGATTTATTCTACTCACTAAAATGAGCTCACTGAAAATATCACTAAATAAAATTATTTTGTAACATAGTTCATTAAATTATGTGAATATATAAAATATATACATTACTTATATAGTTATATATTATGTATAATGTATAACAAATATAGAATTAAAGTCAATTAGCTCACTGAAAACGTTATAAAATTCAGTTAGGTTCTGGTTTACTTCTAAGCAACTGAAGTAACTTTTCTACTATGCATCTTAGATGGAATAAATCAGTTTACCTCTATATTTTTTCTTCCAGATTTAAAAGAAAACATTTTTATTAAGATAATGATTTGCAAAGTAGTCATAGTTGAGTTTCAGGCATACAAAGTTCCAACACTAAACTTATTCCCAATGTCAATTTAGCTCCGCCAGTATTTCCAGTCTCCCTCTGAATTCCAGTCTGCCTACATATGGGAGCATTTTTAAGTTTTGTTGTTTCCATTTGGATCTCAACCTTTCTTTTGACAAACTTTTATTCGTTCTGTGGTTCAGATTATAGATAAACCACACCTCTACACCTCCAGTGTGTCCAAGGCCCTGGCCACTGTCCTTCTCCCTCCACCATCTCTGTATTTCTTCGCCCCTTGATTTTTTCCCTTACCTGTCCCGCCCAGTAATTCTGTATCTTAAAGCATGTGAGTTTGGAGGTGCCCAGATAGTATCTATGTAAATGCTCCATGGGGTGTAAAGCAAATACCAACTTTAATGACTGAGTACTTAAGAGAATGCTTGTCAGTTTTATCTTTGTTGTTGTTGTTTGAGTTGATCCTGGATTAGCTGTATGCAAGGTGTGTTCTTTGTTGGCTGTGCTATCTAGCCCTTATCAGTCACATTTCATGAAGAAAAAAAAGTCTCGAGGGAATTTATTCTGTTTGGGATATCTGCCTATACATGTTCTGCGCTTGTCAAAACAGTCCAGTGCTGTTTGATGCCCAGATGCTGGCCGGGGTGATGAATGTTGGAACTGTCTTCTATGGGTGGCTGGTTGATACCTATTTTGGTTCTTTAGGTCTAAAATTTGCCTGGGGACTGCTGCTGCCTTTGAATGTGCCTCCCAGGCCAGGGGTTTTGTTTCTTACATGTTGGAAGATTTGACCTGTTGTGATGTGAATTTCCAGTGAGTTTTCTTTTAACCCTGGCTATTATATTAGAATTATAGTTTAGAAGCAATTTATGGAAAAGTAGATACTAAATCACACTTTTCTCTTTGCGGTGATTCAGTGATCCATATAAAAAGATTTCAGCATTGTCATAAAAACCACCCTTGTTTAGGCGTTTCTTCAGACCTGGATAGTGTGATCCTTTGTATTTCTCTTTCTACCACAAGTTCTGTGTTAAAAGCCTCTTTTCTTGAAGTTTTATGATTCCAAGTTTAGTTCCTTCGCAGAGCCACTCATTCTTTTCCCCGTGCTGATTTTGACACTGGAGGGAAAAGTGGGCTGGAGCGATAGCACAGTGGGTAGGGTATTTGCCTTGTATGCGGCCGACCCGGGTTCGATTCCCAGCATCCCATATGGTCCCGCGAGCACCGCCAGGAGTGATCCTGAGTGCATGAGCCAGGAGTAACCCCTGTACAACACCAGGTATGACCCAAAAAGCAAAAAAAACAAAAACAAATAAAAGGAGGGAAAAGTTCAGGATGAGCAATTTCCGAGCCCTTTTTACTTTTTGCTTCTCTGAATCAGTGAGGGGCCAGTGTGGGTCCCATTGCCAGCACTTGTTACAGGGTGCCATGATAAAAGGACTAACACTCATTGGCTCATACTCCTCTGAATTGTCAGGGCTCGATATATTAATTTATTGTTCAGTTCTTTGAGTAGGTTACTAGCAGTAAGTAGTCCTTCAGTTTCTTACCTTCCCTTAAAATTTGGAGGATGTTACAAGTGGCCAGCCATGCTAGCACTGCCAGAATCTCTGAAATGCCTCAGAAGTTCCAGCAGACACCACCAGCTTCCATTATTTGAGGATCTATAATGAGTCATCCGCCCTAGTTGATAACTGCTTTTTAAATGAGCTTCAACAACAGATATTATGCCCATTTTATAGGGAGGTAAACTGAGACTCAACACAGGCAGATACTTGCCCATGCTCGCAGTGCTCAGGTTCAAAGCTGCCACTTAAACATAAACCCAACTGTCTTTGAGACCACAACGCTACCGCTTCCCATCTTGCCTCTCAAATAAAGCTCAGGGAGTCCACACGGATGGAGATAATTGCTTGGGTTTGTTAAAAATTATTTTCTGGCTTTTGTTTCAGGGTCACACCCAGTCATTCTTAGGTTCTCCTGTTCTGCGCTTAGAGATCACTCCTAGTGGGGCTTGGGGGGCGATATGGGGTGCCAGGAATCAAACCTGGGTGTGCCACATGCAAGGCAAATGCCCTACCCATCATAATACCTCTCTGGCCCCAGGTTTTGTTATTGCTGTTATCATTTTGGGGTTTTAAGCCACTTCCACTTGGGGCTGCGCCTGGCTCAATACTCAAAGGTTGCTAGGTTAGGCTGGGGGACCCTGGGATCATGGGGGACTTAACTCTTCCCACTCAGCCACATCCCCAGCCTGCTTGCTTGGGTTTTATGTGGACTTAGTAGGAAATTCACGTACAGCTCATCTCCCGCCCACTGCAGGCTTTCTCTCTTCCTCCTCTTCACGTCCTTGTAGTTTCTTGGGGTAACTGGCAGAGGCTTAGCAGGAGGGGAGGCTTGAAGGTAAGAATTTGGTCCTTGTTTTCATTGTCCGGACTGAGGAGTTGATTAGCCTCTACAAGTGGGAACCTCCAAGTGCCTGTACAGAATTTGTATAGGTCTGGACTAGAGATCCCTTCTGGTGAAAAAGGCCTCGGCCAGCCTAGCGTTGTTTCTACAGGAAAATATGTTCAGAGTTCCTTCCATATCATGGACTCAGAATACACTTTTGGTACACTGCCCACAAGGAAGTTGGAGTTTGTCGGTCATTCAGATTTTCAGTAGGCCGTGCCATCTGGAGACGACACATGGCAGGGCTGTTTTAGATTGATCTCATTTGCAGAAGCTTCCTGTTTTATTCATAACCCTTTCATCAAGCACCGCTACAGAATGCAAAATGATTTTGCTGTGTTAGAAAATGACAAATCCTTTACATTGAACACTTTTGTTGTTTTTATTTCAAAATAGAAGCAGTATAAAGAGACACTAGTATGTGGTTTTTCCTTCATCTCTGACCCCTCTCCTGCCGGTTTCTTTGTTCATTCTGACCTTTGTGTTGGTGGGTGTCGAATTACTTTTGATAATTGTAGTCGCATTTATTTCTGATCTACTGTTGAGTCACAGGAGTCAGTTTGATCCTTCCAAGGTCAGGAGAGGTCCTGAGCGCCTGTGGCCAGTGGCCTTTTAGTCCATTTCTGAGGACAGGATGCTCTGCGGTGTAGCCTTTTGAGTGATCCCAGCCTGGATGGACTTAGCTTCGGGAATGGACTGGCTGGCTTCCTGCTTTCTGGTGGCCCTTTCTTGAGTCTTTGGTAATTTCCTTTCACACGTGTATAATTCAGTTCTCAGTGTAAGACTTGAGGACACCCCTCTATCTCGCTGTAATTCCTGTGCTGTGCAGGCTTCCTTTTGGCTTCTCCAACTCCCACATTCAGCTCTGTCTTGAATTGTCTCTTGGAGTCCATTTGAATGGTCTCTTGGAGTTCCTTGAACTGTCTCTTGGAGTTCATCTGACCGAATTCTGAGTTCTTTCCCTGGTGTTGTGATGTCGAAGTGTTCCAGAGAGACGCACTCAGCTGGATCTTAAGGATCATCGGTCTGTGCTGTTTCCAGGGCCTAGAAATCATTTTATGGGGCTGGAGTGATAGTGCAGTGGGTAGGGCATTTGCCTTGCACACGACCAACCTGGGTTCGATTCCCAGCATTCCATATGGTCCCCTGAGCACCACCAGGAGAAATTTCTGAGAGCAGAGCCAGGAGCAACCTCTGTGCATCACTGGGTGTGACCCAACAAGCAATAAATAAATAATTTTATCTTTTTTTTTTTAAATGTAGGAGTACTGCTATTTATTCAGCCACTGATTGAATTGGGCACGAACTCCACCTTACTTTTTTTTCCATAATTTTATTTATTTATTTATTTATTTTTCTTCTTATATTTATTTATTGAATCACTGTGGGAAAAATTACTAAGCTTTCAGGTTTGTCTCGGTCATACAATGATCAAACACCTTTCCCTTCACCAGTACTCATTTTTCACCACCAAGAACCCCAATATACCCCCCTCCTGCCCCTCCCAATGCCTCTGAGGCAGATGATTTCTACTTATTTCTTCTCTACATCGATTACATTCATTATTTTGACAAAAGATGCACCATTATTGTTTAGAATTCCCCCCTCCCCCCAAAAATCAGAATTGCTGAAAAGGCATTGTGAAATACTTGTTTTCTGTAGCTGGTTATGAAAATCATATAATGTCACAAGACCACGATTTTGGATTTCTGCAAAGAGCCAGATAATTACAAGATTGGTTTCTGTGCGTCTGGTGTTATGGCTGTGTCGGAGAGCTGCTCATGGGGGGCAACTCGTGACCTCGGTAGGGCATGAAGGATGAGCCGGTACTGCTACCCTTCCCATGAGACTGCAGTTGCCCCGTCACCGCCAGCTCATACCTGGCTTCCCTATAACCTCTGAGGCGGCAGCCATCTTGCTGCCGGGGAGGGAAAAAGGCAGAAGGGAGCAACACACTTTTCCTCCCTGGGAGGCATGGCGCTGTAGTTTAACGCATGGTCCATTCACTTTTCTGCAGCAAGCTGCCGGGCTCTGGATTAAGTCCTTTTGCCTGTGGAGCCATGGACATGCTGGAGAGCCGCTTGTGAGGGGCAACTCGTGACCTTGGTAGGGCGTGAAGGACGAGCCGGTACTGTCCCCCTTCCCATGAGACTGCAGTTACCCCGTCACAGCCGGTTCCTACCTGGCTTTCCTATAAGCTCTGAGGCAGTGGCCACCTTGTATGCTGTCCAGATGCATGTCTGCCAAAAGCCACTGGGTTTTGAGATTTGTTTCTGAATCTCTGGTATTATGGCCGTTAATCAGCTTGATCAGGTGCCAGAGAGGCCGTTTGTAGGAGGCAACTCGGGGTCTTGTTGGAATGGGGAGGAAAGGGCCGGTTCCACCCCCATCTGGTGAGTCCCCGTGTGTCTCGTCACTGCAGGCTCAAACCTGACTGTCCAGTGGCCTCTGGAGGGTGGTGGTCACTGGGCCGTCAGGAGGAACAGGCCAAGCCACGAAACCTATTCCCACCTGGAGTGGCCCAGCATCAGTAACCTACTTCAGGAACAGGGCACATTTCTGCCAAAAGCCTTCGGGTACCGAGATTCGTTTCTGAGTCTCTGGGATCATGGCCGTTAAGCACTTCGATCAGGAACCAGAGAGGCCATGCCTCCAATTACATAACTGAGCCGGAAGTGGTTTGTGGGTGAGTCTCCCACATACCTAACTTTTGGCCGTTTACTTTCTTGGTAAACTTTGCCCCAAGTTTTTGGGGTCTGGCCAAAGGCACAGCAGCAATTTTGGGGGTATCTGAAAGTCTGACGGTGCCATCAGGCTGCCGATGCACTTGCCTCACAGGTACCTGCTGGCAGCAGCATACCCCCATAATTTTATCTTTTTGATATATTTTTTATGTATCATTCAGGTGTGAAGTGCTGTAAAGGTAAATCTGGTTCCTGTTACATTATAGCCAGAAGCTTAAGGTCTAGGCGTGGCTTATTAACTTACTGTATTGTGTTCACCTTTTATAGTCTTGGTTTTCCCAGAGCAAAAGCTCCCAACTTCCCTTAGCCCACCCCCAGATTGCCTTGGTTATCCTTGGTTCTTTGTATTTCTACATACATTTTCTGTAAATATGTTACCAAATTACTTGTAACCTTATACCTAAGGGAAACAACCTCAGAAATATCCATAAACATTAGTTAGATTGATTAAATTTACGCTGGTACTAAAAGGGAATCGAAGTCTTGAAGTATCAATTCTTTCAGGCATTGGATGTGGTACCTTCACTTAATTATATCACTGTCACTGTCCTCCCGTTGTTCATCGATTTGCTTGAGCGGGCCCAGTAACGTCTCCATTTTGAGACTTGTTGTTACTGTGTTTGGCATATCAAATACGTCACGGGGAGCTTGCCAGGCTCTGCCGTGCGGGCGAGATACTCTCGGTAGCTTGCCGGGCTCTCTGAGCGGGGCGGAGGAATCGAACTCGGGTCGGCCATGTTGGCTGCGTGCAAGGCAAACACCCTACCGCTGTGCTATCGCTCCATTTCAGTAACTAAAGTAAAGTAAAGGCCCTTCCGTTGATCATCGATTTGCTCGAGCGGGCCCAGTAACGTCTCCATTGGAGACTTTGTTGTTACTGTGTTTGGCATATCCAGTACATCACGGGGAGCTTGCCAGGCTCTGCCCCGCGGGCGAGATACTCTCGGTAGCTTGCTGGGCTCTCTGAGAGGGGCGGAGGAATCGAACTCGGGTCGGCCATGTTGGCTGCGTGCAAGGCAAACGCCCTACCGCTGTGCTATTGCTCCATTTCAGTAATATTTTATTGTTTATTTTGTAGAATTTTATGCATCTTTAATTAGATTCCAGGCATTTGATTTTTAGCGCTTTTAAAATTGCTATATTGAAAAATACTTATGTAAAATTTTTATAATAGTCTTTTATACGGTGACTTTGTAAAATTTACTTAACCTACACTGATAGTTTACTTTTATATTTCTTTTAATTTCATTCATTTTTGGTCATATGTGAAAAGTAATAGTCTTACTTTTTCCCATTCTAAATACTTTGTTTCTCTGCCTTATTTAAGTGATTAGTCTTCAGTCCATTGTTCATTATGATTGGTGATGGGGGCTGCTTTGTCTTTTTTGTCTTCTCATTGGGAAAATTCTCAACATTTTACTGTTGGCATGGGATGTTTTCTTTTAATTTTCTTAAAATACCGTGATTTACAAAATTGCTCATAATAGTTATTGCGGGCATACTGGTTCCAGTACCAATCCCACCACCCATTTTTCCCTCCCTCAACCCACCAGTGTCCCCAGGTAACCCCAACACCTCCCTCCCACCTGTCCTCTTTGCAGGCATATAACAAGTTATTTCATAGTACCTATTCTGATAGAGCTTAAAGGAATTGCAAATGGAATTATTCAGGAAATAAATCGCTAAAAGCAAATTTGTGATGATTACTAAGTGATTTTAACCAATATAAATGAGACATTAATTCATTATTGAGAATGTTCAAAACCCCTTAGCAAGCTAGGAGTAAATATACCCCTCTCAACATAGTAGAGGGTCCCATATGCACCACTAATAATGCCATACTAGATGCCACATCTTGGTACCAGGGTATTTGAGAAATTCTGGGGCTAGTTGATCTCTTCCAAGATTTGATCATGAATCTGTAAAGCTGGTGATAGATGAGCTTCTCCCTGCGTGGTCCACTATATTGGCCTTTGCCTTGTTTGACTTCATCAAATCCCTCCCTCCCTCCCTCCCTCCCTCCCTCCCTCTCTCCCTCTCTCCCTCCCTCCTTCCCTCCCTTTCTTTTTCTTTTTCTTTCTTTGTAAATGTTTTTATTGAACTACTGTGAAGTAAACAGTTGCAGAGTTATCCATGATTGGGGTTCAGTCATACAATGTTCCAACACTCATCCCTTCACCCATGTACCACTACCAATGTTCACAATTTCCCTCCTTCCACCCTGCTCCACCCCCAGTCTGCCTCTATGACAGGCACTTACTTCCTCTCTCTCTCTCTCTCTCTCTCTCTCTCTCTCTCTCTCTCTCTCTTTCTCCCCCCTCCTTGGTTTCCACCCCCCCTCACCAATCTTTTGGTCACTATGGTGGTTGCAGATAAGGTTATCATGTATAGTAGATGAGCTTTTGTGGGGGTGTGACTGTGGGGGCTTCCAGAAGTACTGAGGGGTTGAGGGGAGGTTGCCCGCCCCCACTCTGAGAAGGCCCCATCCATGACCTAATATCACTGATTGGCCCTGCCAGTTGTTAGTTGTTACTGCATGCAAAAAATAACTTACAATATGGTTTTACTTGGTTGTAGGGAATGACAGAGGAAGAGGAAGACAAGCTTTTGGCCCTGAAAGACTTCATGATGAAATCAAACAAGGCAAAGGCCAATATAGTGGACCAGAGCCACCTCCATGACTGCAGTCAGAAAGGGGTCATTGACTTGGCAGCCTTGGGCATCACTGGGAGACAGGTCGATCTTGTTAAAACTAAACAGGAACCAGATGACAAACGAGGTGAGTACATCTCTCTTGCTCTTCTCCCCACTCTCTCTTTTTAGCTTACAGTTGCTAGTTATTTTTGTAAGACTTGTCTTAGTTATTTACACATCTTGTATGATGGAACTTGGTTTTTGTTTTTAAAAATCCTTTAAACACAACCTAAGACCAATAATCCATGTAAAATTGGATAATGTTTTATTATTTCTAGATATTTTATCTTTTAAACACAACCTAAGACCAATAATTCATATGAAATGAGATGAATTTTATATTGTGTTACTTGTAGGTAAGGGTGAGAGAATTTAAAAGGACAGACTTGCGGTTAGCAGTGAAATACAACAGAGTCTGGAAGCCGTAACTATTTGAAGTCTTCAGGTTTGGAACTGTCTGTTCTTGTGACAGTGACGTTACGGATTATGTGAGATTTTTCATATATCATGCTTTCTTCATTTAATCTTCGTTGGAGATATTCAGTTCTATGTATCAGTCTCTTCTGTTCTGAGCCAGAGTGATAGTACAGTGGGTAGGGTACTTGCCTTGCATTTCATATCGGTCCCCAAGCCCAGGGGCTGGAGCGATAGCACAGCGGGTAAGGCGTTTGCCTTGCATGCAGCCAACATGGCCGACCCGAGTCCCTCTCGGAGAGCCCGGCAAGCTACCGAGAGTATCTCGCCCGCACGGCAGAGCCTGGCAAGCTCCCCGTGACGTATTCGATATGCCAGACACAGTAACAAGTCTTACGATGGAGATGTTACTGGGCCCGCTTGAGTGAATTGATGAATAACGGGAGGACCGTGACCGTGTATCTCTGTGACCCCAAGCCCAGATGTGATCCCTGAGCACAAAATCAGGAATAAACCCTGAGTACTGCTGAGTTTGACCACAAACAAAATAGAAAAAATTTCCTCTGTCCCAGTATCAGATTTTCTGGGTCACTGGTGAATTAAATTAGAAATAAACTTTTCAGGCTGGAGTCATGCTGTGTGTGTAGGAGCCTCTGTTTTGAGCCCCCAGCACTACACGGTCCTCTGAGCACCTTTGGAAGTGACTCCCTGAGCACTTCGAGTGTAGTCACAAAACAAAACAGACTTCCGGCTGCCAAATGCAGGGTAAAGTACGTGCAATGTAATACCAGTAGTTAACACTTATGGTATATAAAGCATTCGTGCAAAATTATTTATAATTATCAATTACCATAAAAGAAAAATAGTGATTTTTTTAAAAAATAAAATTAGTGTATTTTTTACATACAGCTGATAGAATAGCAATGCTTGTTTGAAAAGGTATGGAATTAAATATAGGTATATTAGATAATATTAAAGTGGCGAAACACCATTTTCTGCCAGTGTTAGTAGCAAAGCCTAATGATACCGAGTTATTAGTGAGGGTTTAGGATTTAGGCATTTTCCTACTCCACTACTGACATTATAAATCAATGTACTCTTTTTAGATGATAGTATCCTTCTCTGCTCGCCATTTTTATTCCTGGAAATATTTCCTAAAATACACCAGCATATGCAGAAATAGTATGTGAATGTTCTCAGTGAAAAACAAAAAAGTCAGAAAAATGAAATGTTTATGAGGTGATTAGCTACATAAATGTTCAGAATTATTTAAATAAAAAATCAGCTTGAGAAATGGTATGTATTATTTTCGCAAGAGTATTATATATTGTTAAAGGATGTAATTTGTGAAGTTTGCAAAGTTACAGGGCAGTTCACTTTATATTTTGGTAGCACTGTAGCACTGTCTTCCCGTTGTTCATTGATTTGCTCGAGCGGGCACCAGTAACGTCTCGCAACAAATTGTGAGACTTGTTGTTACTGTTTTTGGCATATAAAACACGTCACAGAGAGCTTGCCAGGCTTTGCCGTGTGGGCAAGATACTCTCGGTAGCTTTCTAGCTCTTCGAGAGGGGCAGAGGAATCCAACCTGGGTCGGCCGCGTGCAAGGCAAACATCTACCCGCTGTGTCTCACTCCACAAGATACTCATCAAATGTATTTCATGTGCTATCACTGCTGTGATATCAATGCTGTGCTTTCACTCCAGCATTAGTAATGCTGGAAAAAGGTTTCTCACCTGTTTACATGAAGTTGCTGGCTATATAGCAATTCATTCTTTTCTTGAGGTCATACTTAGTGATGATCAAGGACGTTTGAAAAAGTGTTTGGCTCTTCAGATAAAATGCTTACTTGAAATTGAGTTTTGCCTTGGTAAAATAGGAAGCATTTAGGACTAATTATTAACACGACTAAAAATGCATCTGTTCCATCTGCCCTTGAGAATAAAGGAAGAATTAATGAGTCGATCTATAAATATATAAATATAAATAAGTTGTAGATCATAAGGAATGAATAGGATGCGATGTTTCTACTTTGCTCCCCCCCCCCCCCCCCACACACACACCCCGGAAAAATAAAAAAACAGCAAAAGCACAGATGGAGTTTCAGGACTTTCGTTCAGCTGGTTTTTTATTTGTTTTTGTAGCGAGAAAACATGTCAAGCAAGACTCCAATGTAAATGAAGAGTGGAAAAGCATGTTTGGGTCACTGGAGCCACCCAACATCCCGCAGGCCCTGCCGAAAGGCAGCGACCAGGAGGGGATGCAGGCAGGAAAGCCGCCTCGCTCAGAGTCCTCCGCTGGCATCTGTGTCCCTCTGTCAGCCTCGCCGCAGGTACTGTCCCTCGGGTGTGAGTCTTCCTTTTGTGTTAGAGCGTCATCCGACCTTTGGGGTGTGAAAAGACCGGCTATGGCACTAGAAAACTCCACATAGTGACCGGCCCCTCAGGGAGAATGTGTTTCTTTGTGAGATGTCACTTGGCCTTAAGAAAAGGGTGAAATCATGCGACTGGCCTCTGTGGGTGGGACTGGGGGACCTTGCCGAGTGAGGTCGGCCAGGAGAGGACAGGCGGCACAGATCTCTGCCAGCTGAGGGAAGCAGAGAGGCACAGCCAGAGCCAGAAGCAGCGGAACCGGGTATCTGCTGAGGGAGCGGAGGGGGCAGAGGAAGTTTGAGTGGGGACAGTGAGGCAGTGGTGCAGGGAAGTGGACACGACTGGAGAGTGTGGTGCGGGGCTGTTGGCACGGCCAAGACGCTGTAGTTAACGGTATTGTCAGTCATGGTGAGTAAAATTCAGCAAACACTTTCAGTATTTTTAATTTTTTACTTTTTTAAAATTCTGCCCCGCTTCCTCCCTCCCCTCCCCGCCCCTCTTCCCGCTTCCCTTCATTGTCGATAACAGGTTTACACACAGGCCTACCTGTGGTGCTCACACACTGGGGCGTGGTGCTGAGGTTTCTGCCCCTTTCTGCTGCTCCCTGTGCCCACTTGCTTCCCAAGGGCTCACATGCAGAGGCCAGGCACATGGGTTCTGGAAGTGGTTGGGTGGTTGGTACACAGCACTGCTGTGCTGTCTATCAAGTGCTCCCCAGGGCTCATGCTTCTTGCCTGAGGTGCTCATGTATCTTTTTTTCCCCTTTTTTTTTTTTTTGGGCTTTTTGGGTCACACCCAGCAATGCTCAAAGGGTTACTTCTGGCTCTGCACTCAGGAATCACTCATAGTGGTGCTCAGGAGACCATATGGGATGCCGAGGATCGAACCTGGGTCAACCGTGTGCAAGGCAAACGTCCTATCTGCTGTTCTATCGCTCTGACTTCGGTGCTCATGTATCTTTTTAGTTGCAGTGCTCTCCAGGCAGAGAGAGAGAAGGGGGGGAGAGAGAGAGAGAGAGAGAGAGCGCAGAGTGAGAGCAGAGTGAGAGAGGGAAGGAGGAGAGAACAGAAGAGAAGAGAGAGAAGAGAGAGTAGAGAGAGACTCAGCAGTGCTCAGGGGCCCCTTTCGTTGCTTCTCAGCTGGCCATGCCCCCTGTGTTGGGCGAATACCTTCTTGGGCCCTGCAGTGCCGGGGACCACTAGGGCCGTAGCCAGCCACATTCGGGGCCTCCAGGCTGCACCCAGTGATGCTTGGGTGCCTTTATTAATTACCAGCATCGACTTGGGATCAGTTTTGATCCATGAGTGCCCTGTATGCACCTAACCCCTACCCCATGCTCTCTCCACCCCTTTTCTGTGGTGCTCACACCTACCCGGCTCTAGCGTGACTGGAAATGGTTTGCAGCATCAGGAATCACAGACATCAGAGCTGTCAGGCTCAAGTAGCCACATTGCCAGGCTCATACTTGCACATGTGGAACACTGGGACTCTGAAGTCATGGCCACACGCTAGCAAGGCTGCTGCTCTTGGGCCTCTATGCTTGCTCTCAAAATGACCAAAAAAGTACTCGTTTTGCTTAAAGAGATTTAAAAAGTGCTATATTAACAAAGGACCAAAAGCTAATTCATAGAGAGACCCCGAGTACACCTGTATCATCAACGTGGTAGGCATTTATGACACAGGAGCTCTCTACACACTCTTTATTTGTTTTGCAGGTTCCGGAAGTGACAGACATCCAAAGTAGAAAGCCAACCATACAGGTTTTAAGTAGCACAATCTTGCCATCGACTTACCAGATCCGAATCACAACCTGCAAAACGGAACTCCAGCAGCTTGTTCACCAAAAGCGGGAGCAATGTAACGCAGAGAGGATAGCCAAGCAGATGATGGAAAATGCCGAGTGGGAGAGCAAACCTCCCCCGCCTGGTAAGCCAGCCAGTGCACGGATGCTGCCTCCTGCCTGGGGTGGAAGCCCAGCTTCTGATGGGAGTAGCTGATGGTTCTGGAAAGGAAAGGAGAACAGAAACTGTCCCTCTGGGCACCCAGAAGCAGCAGCACAAGGGAGAGGCGTTTGTCATTGTGGAGTTTGCGTCTTCTTAGTGCTGGAGGTGGCTTGCAGTACCTTGATAGGACAGTCCCAGGTTTAAGCCGGCCCGTGGCCCGTTTTTCTCACTTTTGGTGCTAGGTTTTACCTGTCTCCAATCTGCTCAGACCCACTTTCTTCTCCAAAGTCAGGCTTCTTTGAATAAGCTCAGATTTTTCCTTTCTGAAGGGCTTAATAGTTATTGATGATTTTTAAAAGTATAATTAAAAATAATGTATGCTTTCTTCGTTTGCATTTTAATCATGTTGTTATTGTGCGGTAAAATGGGGAAAACATTAATTTCTGTTTTTTTATCTTTCTATTTTTAAATTTTATTAAAGCACTGTGATTTATAGTTATTCATAGCTGAGTGTTAGACATGCAGTGTACTCAGTGCTGATCCCACCACCAATGTCAGCCTCCCTCTACCACTCTCCCCAGGTTCCCTTTCAGACTCCCGCCATCCCCTGGCACTTCCACCCCCCCCAACACACACCCTGGCACCCCGATCCTTTTTAAGTTTGGTTGTTAGAAATTTGGGTCTCATGATTTTAGTGTTATTGACCCTCTGGTTTAAGTATTTAGCTCTGTCATTCCTTAACACCACTTTAATCCCCTTATTCCTGCCCTTCCTTGCTTCTCCTGTATCTCTTCTCCCCTCTACTCTCTTTCTTTCTCCTCTGTATACTCTGGGACCAAGGGTCATCTAGGCATTCTCTCCACTCCCACCAGCCCACCTATCAAATTCCCTCATCTGGTTATTCTAAATCCCACGTATAAGTGTTGTCATCGTGTGTTTATCCTTCTTTGTCTGACTTAACTTCATTTAACATGATATCTTCCAGTTCCATCCATGTAAGCATGATTTCATCATTTTTTACTGCTGTGTAGTATTTTGTTGTGTGTATCTATATCACACTTTGATTATCCACTCATCTGATTTTGGACTTCTAGGTTAATTCCAGTTCTGAGCTATTGTTCTGAGTGTTGCAATGAAGAATTGTGTGCATAGGTCCTTTTGAATGAATATTTTTCTGTCCTGGTGATAAATAGCCAAAGAGTAGGATTGCTGGATCATTTCTGAGTTTTCTGAAAAATGGAATTGCAGCTCAATTCTGAGTTTACTGAGACCCGTCCATAGTGTTTTCCATGGGTTTTGGACCAGATGACATTTCTACCAGCATTGGATGTTATTTCCTTCCTCACCACATCCCCACCAACACAGATTGTTCCCAGTATTTTTGTTACGTGCCATTCTTAACTGGTGTAAGACGATATCTCATTGTTGCCTTGATTTGGATTTCCCTAATAGTAAGTGATGATCAGCATTTTTCGCCTGCCCTTTGACCAGCCATAGGTCTTCCTCGGAGAAGTGTCTGTTCATTTCCCCTCTTCATTTTTTGATGGGGTGTTTAGGTTTTTGTTGTCCTTGATCTTTGTTGTTGTTGATCTACACCTTTATCTGATATGTTGGGCACAAATATTTTCTCTCATTCAGTTAGCTGTCTTTTAGGTTTAGCCTATGCTTTTTCTTTTGCCATACAGAAGTTTTTTTAGTTTGAGGAAGTCCTGTTTAGTTTTGATTCTGTGGTCTTTGCCAATGGCATTGTATTATTGAAGACTCCTTTAAAGTCTAGGTCTTGGAGCATTCTGTCTATATTTTCCTCAGTGTGTTTTATGGGTTCATATCCGATCGCAAAGTCTTTGGTCCACTTTTAGTTGACTGATGTGAGATCCCGATCCGGATTTAACTTCTTAATTCGTGGTTATCCAATTCTCCCAACACCGTGTATGTAAGAGGCTGTCTTTATGTTCCATTTCATACTCTCAGTTCCTTTGCCAAGCATTAGCTGACCTTATATAGGGGGATTTGTCCTTGGATATTCTGTTTTGATTCTCTAAGTCTATCCATTTATAGGCAAACTTCATGATCAGAGAATGTCTCTGTATTTCAATACCACACTAGTTTTTTTTTTAAATTGAATCACCATGAGATAGAGCATTACAAAAATTGTTCATGATTGCATTTTAGTCATACAATGTTCCAACACCCATCCTTCCACTAGTGTAATTTCCCAGCACTGGTGTCCCCAGTTACCCCCTCCCCAAGCTAACCCCCACCCCAGCCTGCCTCTATGGCAAACACCTCTCTTCTCTCTCTCTCTCTCTCTCTCTCTCTCTCTCTCTCTCTCTCTCTCTCTCTCTCTCATTTTAGGCATTATGGTTTGTGATACAGATGCTGAAAGGTTATCGTGTATATCCTTTTACCTGCTTTCCACACTCAGTTCTTATCCAGAGTGATCATTTCCAACTAGTGTTGTCATGATGGATCCTCCTCTATCTTAACTACCCTCCATTCCCCACGCCATTGACCAACCATTGATCAGTCCTCTTGGCCCGTTTTCCCTGACTGTGGATATTAGTTTCATGCTGTTTCTTTTTTCCAATATCCCACAAATGGATACAGTCATTCTATATCTGTCCCTCTCCGTTTGACTCATTTCACTCAGCATGATTCTCTAAGTCTATCCATTTATAGGCAAACTTCATGATCTCATTTTTCCCAACAACGGAGTAGTATTCCATTTTGTAGATGTACCATATTTTCTTTATCCATATGTCTGTTCTTGGGAACTCAGGTTGTTTTCCAGATTCTGGCTATTGTGAATAGTACTGCAATGAACATAGACGTGCAAATGGTGTTTCAGCTGTGTGTTTTTGGACCCCCACAGTATATTCTCAGAAATGGTATTGACTGGGTGCAATGGTAGCTCAGTTTCTAGTTTTTTGAGGAATGTTCATATTGTTTTCCAGAAAGGCTGGACCAGTCAACATTCCCACCAGCAATGAATGAGGGTCCCTTTTTCCCCACATCCGTCCCAGCACTGGTTGTTCTTGTTCATTTGTATGTGTACCAGTCTCTGTGGTGTGAGATGGTATCTCATTGAGTATCACACTGTTTTTGATCACTACGACCTTAGGTCATGAGATACCTAACTGGAGAACCAACAGTTTCTTATTTTTTGGTATGATTTTCGTGTTATGGGGTTGTTTATGATTTCATACAAACTTTGAAATGGATTTTTCTAAGTCCTTGAAGAACTTTGCCTGAATTTGGATGGGGATTGCAATGAGTATATAGAGTCGTTTAGGTAGGATGGTCATTTTGACAATATTGATTATTCCAGTCCACCAGCATGGAATGTTTCTTTCATTTCCTAAGGTCTTCTTCAGTTTCTTTCTTCAGTGTTTGGAAGTTTTTGTTGTATAGGTCTCCCACCTGTTTTGTTAAATTGATTCCTAGGTACTTGGTGTCTTGGGACACGAATTTAAATGGAATAGACTTTTTGGTCTCTTTCTCCTCTGATTCCTTATTTGTATATAGGAATGCAACCAATTTTTGTGTGTTGACTTTGTAGCTGGCCACTTTGTTGTATTGATTTATTGTTTATAGGAAGTATTTTTGTGGACTCTTTAGGATCTTCATATATCATCATGTCATCTGCAAATAGAGATCATTTGACTTCCTCTTTTTCAGTCTGCCTCCCTTGGATCTCCTTTCCATGCCAGAGTGCTGTTGCTAGGACTTACAATACAATGTTGAATACCATTGGAGACATGAGGCATCTGGCTTTTTGCCTAAAATGCTTTCTGTTTTTTTTTCTTTAAGAATAATATTGGCTATGGGCTTTGTATAATTACTATCTTGAAGAAGGTTCTTTTCACCCTTATTTTATTGGGTATTTTTTTTTGAATCATTAATAGGTGCTGGAACTTGTCAAACACTTTCTCTGCATTGACTGATATGATCATATGATTTTATCTTTTACTGATGTGGTGTATTGTGTTAATTGATTTGTGTATGTTGAAGCGTCCTTGCGTCCCTGGGTTGAATCCCACTGGATCATAGTGTATGATTTTTTTTTTTTTTTTGCTTATTGGGTCACACCTGGCAATGCACAGGGGTTACTCCTGGTTCATGCACTCAGGAATTACCCCTGGCAGTGCCCGGGGGACCATATGGGATGCTGGGAATTGAACCCGGGTCGGCCGCATGCAAGGCATACGCCCTACCCGCTGTGCTATCACTCCAGCCCCAGTGTATGATATTTTTGATGTGCTGTTGGATTTGGCTCGCTAGATTTTGTTGAGAAATTTTGCATTGACGTTCATCAAAGTCTAAAATCATCTCCTCCCTCTCTTTCTCTTCCTCCTCCTTCTCCTCCTCCTCCTCTTCCCTCTTTCTCCTCCTCTTCCTCTTTCCCCCTCCCCCCTCCTCACCCCACCCCTACGCCTCCTCCTTCTCCCTCCTTCTCCTCCCCCTCCTCCTCCCTCCTTCTCCTCCTCCCCCTCCTCCCTCCTCTCTCCTCCTCCTCCTCCTCCCTCTTTCCACTTTTCCCCTCTCCGTCTTGGTCTCTATATCATTGAATTCTGCTCTACTTTTTATTATTTCTTCTACTAGTCTTTGGATTCATTTGCTGTTGGTTCTCCAGATACTTAAGGTGTGCATTTAGGTTGTTGATTTTATCTTTTTTCTTCATCCCTTATGTAGTCCTTTATTACTGTAATTTTCTCCCCTAATTACTGCTTTTGTTGTGTACTCATAGATTTTAGTAATTTTTCTTCATTATCATTAGTCTCAAGGAATCTTTTTATTTCTTACTTATTTTCCTCTTTGATCCAGCTGTTATTTAGCAGCATATTGTTTCGTCTCCAGGTGTTCGCGTTGTTTCTTTTTATGGTTAATTATTTTATCATTGTCATTGTGATCTGATAGGATGCTTGGAATGATTCTTATGTTTGTGAATTTTTGTAAGTTAGACTTTAAAAGGTAAAGGTAAAGGTAAAGGCCCTCCCGTTGATTGTCGATTTGCTCGAGTGGGCCCAGTAACGTCTCCATTGGAGACTTTGTTGTTACTGTGTTTGGCATATCGAATACTCTGGGTAGCTTGCCGGGCTCTCTGAGAGGGGCTGAGGAATCGAACTCGGGTTGGCCATGTTGGCCGCTTGTAAGGCGAATACCCTACCCGCTGTGCTATCGCTCCAGACTTTAAGTCCTGAAATCTAATTTATCCTGGAGAATTTTCCATGTGCACTAGAGAAGAATATGTATTCATTTGACTTTCGAGGATGGAAAAACCTGTGTAAATCTATTCGTTCCAGCTCTTCTAGTTCTTCATTGAGGGCTCTCGTGTCTTTACCGGTATTCTGTCATAGAGATCTGTCCAGTGGTGACACATGACAGGTTGAAGTCTCCTACTACTATTATATTTCCATCCATATGCTTCTTTGGGTTTGTGTACAAAAACCTTATAAACTTTGCTGACCCAACATTTGGTGCTTATATGTTGCTTGGAATTAGTTCTTTGTCTATTGTTCTGTTGATCAATGAGTAGTGTCCATTTCTAATTACTTTCTTCAGATTAAATGCAGTTTACCCTAAGTATAACTGTCCCATATATTTTTGTTTTCCATTGGCTCATATTATTGTTTTCCTCTGATTCTGTCTGTCCTGTGGATTTTAGATGTGTTTCCTATAAGGAAAACACATGGATGGATTTTGTTGCCCGATCCACTCTGCCACTCGGTGCCTTTTTTTTTTTTTGTTTTCTTCTTATTGGGTCACACCCGGCAATGCACAGGGGTTACTTCTGGCTTTGCGCTCAGGAATTACTCCTGGCGGTGCTCAGGGGACCATATGGGATGCTGGGAATCGAACCTGGGTCGGCTACGTGCAAGGCAAACACCCTACCTGCTGTGCTGTCACTCCAGCCCCCACTTGGTGTCTTTTGACGGAGAGTCAGTCCATTGACATTCAGGATGTTATTAATATAAAGGACCGTGTTGCCGTTTTACTGTGTTGGGTTGTTGCTTCTACAGTTGACTATTCGGTGTATGTAAGTGGCCTTTCAGTAGTTTATTCAGGGCTGGTTTGGTTATCACGAGTGTCACCAGCTTTTTTTGTCTAAGAGTGTTTTTATCCCTCCCTCCCATCTAAATGAGAGCACTTGCAGGGAAGTGGACTCTGGGTTGAAAGTTTCTTTTATTCAGTATCTTGAAGATGTCATTCTACTCTTACCTTGTTGTACCATTTCATATGGAATGCCAGTTGTGATTCATAGGTTATTCCCCTTCTATTTTAGGATTTTCTTCTTTCTTGCTTCTTTAAGAAATTTGTCTCTTTGGTTTTGGCCAGTTTGATTAGTTGTGTTTTAGTGTTGTTCTGTTTGTGTCTATTTTGCTTGGTATTCTTCTGAGCCTCTTGAGTCTGCACAGATGCTTCCTGGCTGAGAGTGGGGAGGTTTGGTTTAGGTTTTTGGTTTGGGGGCCACATCCCGCAGTGCTCAGGGTTTATTCCTGGCTGAGCTCAAGGAGCAGGTTTGGCAGAGCTTGGGGAACCCTACAGGATGCCAGGGATTGAACCCAGGTTAGCCACATGAAAGGCGAACACCCTAACCGCTGTACTGTTGCTTTGTCCTTCCCCCCCAAGTAATGCATACTTTTAAAAGGAAAACACAGTGACCTCTAATCTTACCAGTGATTAGCATTACATTTGGGGTGAGGGATGCACTCCTATATTTAGAGATTTAAGGGAAGTTTCATGATCTTTCAGATGAAAATGTGACAGCCATGTTCAAGACTTGCCCAGGGCACTGTGGTACAGTTTGTCTTTGATGCAAGATTTGGAATTTTAGGCAAGGTTCTGCACATAGGTTTATTTTTATTTTGGACTCACCAGGGCCGCTGCAGACCGTGAGAGCTATCCCAGGAAAGCTGGGCAGTGCAGGGCCAGGCTCAGGCTCCAGCCCTTTGTGCCATCTCCCCCACTCTCGCTATTCATAGATTTCAAGAATAACAACAGTTTAGCTTTGAAAGCTCTGAGAAGAAATGCAATATGCCTATTTCTGTGTACTTTTGACAGTCATGCTTATTCTCTTGAGGAAAATTAAATGCTGATTGAGCAGTGATTTGGAGATTTTAGAAATAACGTTAAGTGGTGAAAGAGCACCTCTTTAAAGAGCACCACTCTTTAAAGTCACAGAAATCTCAAAATTTCTAGGAGTGTTTAAGTTGTTCTGAAATGCATTTCTTTATTCCTTACCAGCCTGAAGAGAAGAGAGGAAAAAAACAAGTTGACCGCAAAGTGTCTATTTTTCGACAGACTCTGTCTCTATAAGTGGCTTTTTATAAAGTAGAGCTATACATTTTATTTAATAATCACAGAAAGGGTGTCGCATTTCGTGGTTCAAGAAATGTGCAATGACTGTTGGTCTTTTCTTTCCACACTTCAGTGGTTGTGTGAAATTGATTCTCTCCAGAGGGAAATGTTCACCCTCGACTTGCAGATTGTCTCAACTTCATGGACAAGTGTTTTTGGTCATTTTAAAACCCAGAACATCCTCATTGAAGTCACTTTTTTTTCCTTTTTAATCTAATCACCATGAGATGCAGTTACAAGCTTCCATGTTTGAGCTTCAGTCATACAATGATCAAACACCCATCCCTCCACCAGTGCACATTCCCCACCACCAATGTCCCCAGTATCCCCCCTCCCCCACCCCTTTCCAGTCTTCCCCTGCCTCCATGGCAGACAATTTCTCCCATACTCTCTCTACCTTTGGGCATTATGGTTTGCAATAAAGATACTGAGAGGCCCTCACATTTGGTCCTTGATCTACTTTCAGCACACATCTCCCATTCTGAACGGTTACTCCAGCCATCATTGTCTTAATGGTCCCTTCTCTATTCCAGCTGCCTTTTCCCCCAGCTCATGAGGCAGGCTTCCAAGTATGGGGCATTATTTCTGGCCCTTGTGTCTACTGTCCTTGGGTGTCTGTCTCATATTATGTTATTATATATTCCACAAATGATTGCAGTTGTTCTATGAGTCATTCTATGAGTCGTCGTTTCTCTTTCTGACTCATTGCACTTAGCATGATACTCTCCATGTCCATCCACTTATAAGCAAATTTGATGACTTCATCTCTCCTAACAGCTGCATAGTATTCCATTCTATCCATATGTAGATGTACCAAAGTTTCTTTAACCAGTCATCTGTCCTAGGGCTCTCAGGTTGTTTCCAGATTCTGGCTATTGTGAACAGTGCTGCAGTGAACATATAGGTGCAGGTGTCATTTCAGCTGTGCTTTTTTGCACCCCCTGAGGTCATATTTAACCTTCCTTCCTACACACATGAGTTTAAGGTTTGACTTAGGAAAGGGTTTGCTTTGGCGCCATCCCAGGGTGTTACTCCCAGCAGTGCTCAAGGTACCTTGTGGTGCCTTGTACATGTGAAACAAGACACCTGTCAAGCTGTCTCGGTGACCCTATTTTAAAAATATTAGAATAGGTTATGTTTTGCAATAGTCTTGATTTCTCCCTTTTTTATTTGGTGGGAGTGAAGGGACCGGGTGGGCTATACCAGGTGGTGTCAGGGCTTCTGACTCTGTTAGGAGGATTGTATGGTGCTGGGGATTGAACTGGTGTTGGCTGCATGCCAGGCAAGTCTTTTCATCCCTGTTCTGTTTCTTTGACCCCACTTTTTGGGGGGTAAAAATAATTCCATCCTAAAATGACATTGTTATCCCATAGTTATTTCTAATGCAGTGAGATTCCGATGCACTACGATTTCCAGCAGAATATGGTCTTTAGTATAGCTTTGCTTTGAAAGTTAATCTGAAACATTACAGAGTTTTATACTTAGCATAAAAGTTTATTCTTCAAATGCTGAAGAATCTGTACTAGTATTGTTTTTATTATTATGGTCTCTGGTCGCAAGGAACTAACTTAGAGGAAACAATCAAAATGAAAATACACAGTGAAGCAAAAGTGTGTCAGTGTCATAACAGACCAGAAAATCTATGGGTGTTTGGAGACGATACTTGGCAATACCATTGATATTACTGTGTTGATATTCCAGAACATAGGATCATAATGAGAGAGGAAACAAGCTGTTTCCTCTAAACGTAGGGCAGGCTGGGCTCTTTCTTGGTCTCTGTCTCTAGTTGCCTTTGGCTTATTAGTGCCTCTGTTCTACATTTGAGGAAATTGAAGCTCGGGAATATTTTCTAAGAAAAGGTCCCTTGAGGTCACATATTTAGGGTCTGATGGATCAGGGCCACCTTTGAGACTTTCAGAGTCAAGCTGCCCCCCTACCTCCTGATGTGTTGAGATCAGACAAGTCGTTAACTGTTGTCCTTGAATAATTGATCAGGTTTCCCCCAGGTCACAGGTGATTGTTGTACGTTCTTAGACACCATCCCTTCTGCAGCACCAATTCACTGTCTTACTCAGTAGACAGTTACATTGATTCTATCAATTCAGGAACTTAAATTTTTCTGCTTGCAGGCCCTTCCTTTTCACCTGAGAGATTTGTATGTAATCCCGGGTACATTGGTATATAAAATAGGTCTGCTGATCAACCATTTACTGATAATCTTCAAGAAACAGCATTTGAAACAAACTTCAAAAGGTCCATGACCCCATACAGCAGCACAATACGTGGTTTGAGATCTCAGTAATTGACCACGGTGCCGGCTGGCCATGGCAGCCCTGGGTTCCATCCTTCTGATCAGTCTCCTGCTGGTTGGGGGATTGATGCTGGGTGAGTGGGGAGGGAAGATCGTGTTGGCTCACTGTGGTTCCATACACTCCTTGGCTTATCCTTAGGTTGGCGTCCCAAAGGACTGCTGGTTGCACATCTTCATGAACACAAATCTGCTGTGAATCGAATTAGAGTCTCTGATGAACACGCTCTCTTTGCCACGTGTTCAAACGATGGCACAGTGAAAGTCTGGAACAGTCAGAAAATGGAGGGGAAGACCACCACCACCAGGTAACGTACACTTGTTTCAGTTACGTTAACAGTTGCTATAGAATGCGCACTCTGTGACAGGTACTGTTTTGGGTGTTGCTTTTTGTGGTTCATTGTTTGTTTGTTTGGGGGCCACACCTGGCATTGCTTAGCAATTACTCCTGGCTCTGTGCTCAGGGCTCACACTTCGCAGTGCAAGGGGTCCTGGGGATCCAACCTGGATCAACTGAAATGCCCAGAGTAGACAAATTCATAAAAAATTTAGATGAATTGTTTATAGGGACTGGGGTGGGACAGGGAAATAGGGAGTGAATGCTGATGGTTGTGAGTTTTTTTGGGGGGGAATGTTCTTAAAATGTTCTGGAATTACAGTAATCTAAGTGGAATTGTTAATAAACGAAACGACCACTGAATTGCATACTTTTAAGGTATTGTGCTTTATGGCATGTGACTTCTGGCTCAAGCTGTTAAGAAAAATGAGCTAGAGAGAAAATATTAGTAAACATAAAATATGATTTCATAATTAAAACGCAAGTATTATAGTTTATACATTTAAACTATATATTTTGCTATATACCCTTTGGGAGGATATATAACAAAACATTAATATTTCTGTGTGGAAGGATTGTGTTTTTACTTTCCTGTATTTTAATATTTTTGTTCATGTAGTGTGTATTGTATAATAAAATGGAATATGATACAAAAGACAGAGATTAATTTGCTAATGAAGCACTTTTGTGCCCTTTTAGAGGGTTGGCTTCTTAGAATAGAGTGTCCGTGACAAAAGAACAGATCCACAAGACTGAGTTCGGAGGTGGGCGTTGGGAAGAAGGTGCTTTGGGATACTTGGAATATTCTGGTAATGGGTATAGTGTTGGAATGTGTACATGGGGAACCATCGTTATTAACAGTATTGTAAGTCACAGTGGGTCTGTCAATTAAAAAAAGAAGTGGTGTGTATAGCAGATGTGGGAGGTAAGGAAGGAGGGAGTTGGTGATAATAGGGAGCTCCCTTTGTAAATCAGATATTCAAGGAATTTGGTAGTGGGTTTAAGGAAGTTTAGATGGCTCGAGAATCCAGCATGTGTGGAAGAGAATGGATTTTTTTTTTAATACTTAAGAATGTTTTATGTTGGGCCGGGAGAGAGTATAGAGGGTGAGGAGGCGCTTGCCTTGTCTGCAGTGACCCTGTTCCATCCCTGCACCAGGAGTGATCCCTGAGCACAGAGTCAGGAGTAAGCCCTCAGCACAGCTTGGTATGGCCCCCCAGCAAGCAAATGGGAAAGAAAACAGAACAAAAGAATGTTTCATGTTCTATTTGAACTTAACTATATTCCAGTCCTCTTGGGCTATCCTGTTTTGTAGATGATTAAACTGAGACACAGTTTAAGTGCCTTGGCCAAGAACAAATAAGTACTCAGTGGTGCTTCTCAGTACTTGGATTCCAGTGCCTATGCTTTCCCTGCTGTGCCGGGTGTCCCGCAGAGGCCAAACAGTCAAAGGGTGTTAAGAGTAGGGCTTTAGGTACTGTAGGAGTTGAGGAGCTGGGTCGGGACCACAGGAATGAGAGTTCCAGTTGGAAATGAGAAAGGCCAATCTCAGTGATGTCAGAGGAGTATGTGGAGATGTCTATGTGAACATACGTGAGAGATTTCCGAGAACAGAGGACTGGTTAAAGAATCTACGGTACATCTACACAATGAAATAATATGCAGCTATTAGGTAAATGAAATTTGCTTATAAATAGGTGGACATGGAGAGTAAAATGAATCAGAAGGAGAGGGACAGACATAGAATGACTGCACTCATTTTTGGATTATAAAAGATTGTCATATGAGACTAACACCCAGAGACAGTAGAAACAAGGGCCAGGAAGGTTTGGTCCATGGTTGGAAGCTGGCCTCAAGGGCTGGGGCAGAGGGTAGTTGGGATAGAGAAGGGACCATTATGACAGTGATGGTTGGAAGGGATCACTCTGGTCGCTCTGGTTGGGAGATGTGAACTGAAAGTGGCTAAAAGATCAAACATGATGGCCTCTCAGTATCTGTATTATAAACCATACTGCCTGGGGAGTGGCGGGGGGGGGGGGGGGGGGGAGAGAAAAGAAGAAAGAAGGAAAGAGAGAGAGAGAAAAGGAAGAAAGGTACCTCCCATAGAGGCAGACTGAGGTGGGGGTGGCAGGAAAGATTTTGGTGCTGGGAAATGTACCCTGGTGGAGGAATGGGTGTGGAACATTGTATGACTGAAATCCAATCATGAAAGCTTTGTAACTGTATCTCACGGTGATTCAATTAAAAAAAAATTAAAGCAAAAATAATTGAAAGAAAAGGAAAGAAAATACAAGAAAAAGCATTTTGATACCAGCACTTCTTTAGGGGCACGGGGGGTTTTTTGCTTTTGTTATAAAATCAAGGAGATGAAATAGACCCCTGGAAAACAGTCACTTTGTTGTTGGATGTTTCCTTAACAGTAGCAACGATAACACTCTTCTGACCCGTTCAGAAATGTCATCTTGTTTTTCTTTTCCTGCAGATCTGTTCTCACGTACAGCCGGATCGGGGGTCGGGTCAAGACTCTGACTTTCTGCCAGGGGTCCCACTACTTAGCCATCGCATCCGACAATGGGGCCGTGCAGCTTCTGGCCATTGAAGCTTCTAAGCTGCCCAAATCTCCTAAAATTCATCCTCTACAAAGCAGGTATCTTTGGTGTTTCCTGCCTTCAGTAGTTAAACCCTCTCTTCCCGGCATGGTTGGAAGAAACGAAGGGCCTGTTCGGTTGTGCTCTTTTAAACACATGATGAAGGAAGCTGTTTCCAGCTCAGAGCATTTGCTTGCAGTTAGTTTCAGAAAACGCTTGCCTCTCTTATTTTCTGCAACGTTGCCCAAAAGTAGTAGGAAGGCAGCTTTGAGCTTGAGGCCCCACCTAACCTGGAATCTATTTGAATAACCTAATTATCTGTTAACATATTTTGTCTCAGCTACTAAATCCTCTGTTCTGGGAGGTGGATTTTGAGCGTATGAGTGTTCTTTGTGAAAGAAACCTTGAACTTCCTCCGCATTTTATTATTCGGCGTGGGAATCTCTGAAGTTGAGGGGAACAGAGTGGAACTTTTGAGACATTAGCTGATCCTTGTTTGGCTTTTGTTTTGGAGCCACACTCCGGGGTTACTGCTGACTTCTGCCCCTTGCTGTCCTGTTTCTGTGACCTCGGGTTGTTTTATTTTTTGGTTTCTGGGCGATACCCATGTTGTGCTTAGGAGCTATTCCTGGCTCTGTGCTCAGGAGTGACCCCTGGTGGTACTTGGGAAGCCATGCACAATGCCCAGCATCGAACTAGGGTCTGGCAAGTACTTCATCTCTTATAATGTTTATTTGCCCCCTGGCTTCTATTCTTGTTCATACAGTTTTCTTCTTGGCTCAGGCACCTCCTAGCACTAAGCCAGATGTGCCCCCCAAACAAAACAAAAATAATGTTCTGCACTTTTTACAAATCGGAGTTATCTGTGGATATAAGGCAAGCTTCTCCCTGCCCCCACAACCAAACCCAGGCCCTCACACATGTGACTTACCTCTGAGCTCTGTCCCTACCCCACATGACATGATATTTAAAGATACAGCAGAACAATTTTCCACTCCCCACGGAGAATTCCAAAGGTAAATAAGGTACATAAGGTACATTACACAGTAGACCCTGCAGCTGGACCAGGGGTCCATCCGTGGACAGGATTTTAGTGCAGTATGCTGTGTCCTGTCCTGAAGCCGGGGAGTTAGCTCATCTTGTTGCGGTTAGGGAAGAGGTGCCCAAGGGAGGTGATAGTGGTAACCAGCCTGGAGAGGGTGGACAGTGGGGCGGGACAGGCAGAGATCATGACCCTCCCCTCACCCCTTTAGGAAGAAAGCACATGAAAGTTGCTCTAGTTAAGGAGACTATAAATCCTGGCTGTGAGGTGTCTGTGGCAGAAGAGGTTGTTTGTTGGATCACCTAGCATTTTTTTTTTAATTTGTGTGCAGCTCTGTCTTTGCAATGAAATCTATGTTTTATTTCATATTATTTTGCGGCTCAAGAGGGCTGGGGGCACAAAATTTGTAAGTCTACAACTGTAACTCATGGTGTCTCACTAATAAAAATATTTAAAAAATAAATAAAAAAAATTAAAAAAGAGGGCTGGGAGACATCCACTGGTAATTCTTGGCCAAGTGGATCTATGGGTCAATGCAAAGGCCCAGGAAAATGTGAGCCCTATCAGCTGAGCTACATCTCCAACTTCAAGATCTTGGATTTTAACCACCATGCTCCAGTGAGAAGAACCCGGGTTTCTTGGATTACTAGGTGATTCCAGAGTTGCAGCAGGAACAATTACAAGGCAAGTCTGGAGCATCTTGTGGTGGTTGAAATTTGGGAAGTGATCCCCAAAAAGGCACCTTGACAGACAGGGCATTGTAGCCAGTCTGAGAGAGTTGCCCTGGCCAAAGTCGGCATAACTTGAGCAAAAAATAATGATAGTATTGAGGTATAACTTGGAGAGTAAATAAAGACTGATCTGAACATGTAGGTGAATGGGGGAGAAGTACCAGTGTAATCACTACGAATGGAGGGAACCGTGGACAGTTACCCTCAGAGCCTCACAAGAGTGTCCATCCACAGAACCTGAGATTAGTGGACAAGTATGTAAGCAGAAGAGAAGAGGGGTTTTGTTTGTTTGTTTGTTTTGTTCTGTTTTGTTTTTACACATAGTAAAGTATTTCTCTTAAGTGTTGAGGATTTAAAAATGGAAAAGCAGGGGCCAGAGCAATAGCACAGTGGGTAGGTTGCTTGCTTTGTGTGCACTCATACGGGTTTGAACCCTCCATATTCTTTATGGTCCCCTGAGCCTGAGCACTGATAGGTGCAGCACCAAACAAACTGTAGCACTGTCCACCCATGGTTCATCGATTTGCTCAAGCGGGCCCAGTAACATCTCCATTGTGAGACTTCTTGTTACTGTGTTTGGCATATCGAATACGTCATGGGTAGCTTGCCAGGCTCTGCCATGAGCACCAAACAAAACCAGAGGGAAATGGAAAAGTAGTGAGTGTATAGTGGAGAGTCCCAGGAGACACCCCCTGGAATCCAGCTTAGTACCACCTGCCATGCTTCCTTCCTCATCCAAAGATCTCCCTGCTCTGGGCGCTGAGGAGGACCCGCAACCACAGAGCACAGACTTGGCCTGCCTCTGGGAGCACAAGGCAGCCCAGGCTGAAGGACTGTGTGTACAGTAGTGATCTCCATAGTCTCAAGGTCAGGAGCACCAAGGACCTTTCAGAAAGGAAGACAAGGAGGAGCTGCATGGGGCAATGCCAGCCAAATACTAGGAGTCCTCCACGGCCAACTGATGGTCACGTTCTGTGTTCTGTTTTTGGCTCATCTCGGGTCAAGGTTCATTTCTCGCTTCTTTTCCGATGTATTTCCCCCCAGCCCCCCTTCCTTTGTTGTTCTTGTTGTGGTCACACTTGGGCATGGTGCTTTGCCAGGTCACACTCCTTAGTTGTGCTCACCCAGCACTCAGCACTTCCGTCGTGGTGCTTGCTTGCCCCACACACTGGGGTGGCAGTGCCCTGGTGGCCGCAAAACTGGTTTAGGCACCAGGAGCCCCAGTGGCAGCACCACGGGGCTTAAGCTCGGCATAGGTGGGGCTTGTGCCTTGGGTGGAACTGTGACCTCGCAGTACTCAGGCAGGCAACGCTGCAAATCTGTGTTGAATGGAGCCCCGTGCTGTGTGTCTGGTGAGTAGCAAAGTCTTTGCATTGGGTTCATGTGTTTTTCAGAATTCTCGACCAGAAGGAGGATGGCTGTGTGGTGGACATGCACCACTTCAACTCGGGGGCACAGTCCATCCTGGCCTACGCCACCGTGAACGGCTCCCTCGTAGGCTGGGACCTCAGGTCTTCGAGCAATGCATGGACCTTAAAGCATGATTTGAAGGCCGGCCTCATCACCTCCTTTGCTGTGGACATCCACCAGTGCTGGCTCTGCATTGGTAAGCAGACTTGCAAGCCTGTTTAGAATGCCCCCTGGGGCCTGAGCTTGCCCTCCAGGGAAAGGGAAAGCCTAGATAATCCTTCCTATCATGCCTTTCCTTCATAAGTAGGAGGTTATAAGCACTTGGCAATTTATGTGTGTGTTAGAGTGAAATCAGTATCCAGCTGCACAAAACAGTTTCTTCTTTTTTTTCTCTGCTCTTAAGTGCTTAAGTGCCTTTAGGGTGATGGCCAGATTTGCTGATGTTCTCTTACTCTATCAGAGAAGCAGCCAAGCATGGTGTATAGGTGACAACCTTTGCATTTGGCTTTAAAGTCTCATGACTTTAGACACACTCCTTAACTTTTTTCTTGTCTCCTTCCCTTCAGTTGGAGCTCAGCCTTTCAGGGGCTGCTTTGAGGAACTTAGCCCAGGTTGCACACTGCCCCATTCTTCCCGTGCCCACGCCCATGCCTGGCCTTCAATGGCTGTAGATGCCCAATTGCCATTCACCCAGTCACTCTTTCCCTTTCCCTCCTGCAGGGTTAAGGTATCACGTTTCATTTTTTTCCCACATGACAGTTTCTCAGAATTAGATTCTCTTGTGTTTGAATTTTGGCTTCTAGATTTCCTAGCTTGTATTTGCTAGCTAGATTTCCTAGCTGTTAAATAGCTTTCTTCCTTTCTTTCTTTCTTTCTTTCTTTCTTTCTTTCTTTCTTTCTTTCTTTCTTTCTTTCTTGTTGTTGTTGTTGTATGTATAAACTCTCCAAGATGCTGGCTGGGTAGAGGCCCCGACGGCTCTCCCCGTTGCCGACCAGGTTCAGGTGGGCCCAGGCCGCTCTCCTAGCCAAGGCGTCCCAGGCCATGGGGCAGAGAGTGGACAAAACGAGGGCCAAGCTGGTTGATTGATCAGATGCCATTTATTCCATTCTCCCCACAAGCCTTCTCCAGTTTCTCTGAGCCTCCCATTCTAGTCTCACACTGCCCCTCATTCCCGTCTCCTCCTGTCTCTCCCACTCATCTCTCCGTGCTCCATCTCACAGCCTGGGCTCTCTCTCTCTCCATGTGCCTGCTCCTGTATTCTTCTACATTCTTCTCCCTCTGTCCCCATTGCTAGTCTCTCTGAGCTCCCTGCCCTTTCTCACTTTCTCCAGCTCTGTCTCTCTGGCTCTCTTATCACTCCAATTCCCCTGCTCTCTGGGCCCTTGCTACACACAGTCTGGTAGCAAAATCAACATAATCAACATAAGAGAGAGAGAACAAAAGGGAGTGCCCTACCACAAAGGCTGGGTGGGATGGGGGGGGGGGAGTGTGGGAGGGATACTGGGATTGGTGGGGGTGGAGAATGGCATAGGTACTCTATCATTGTATAACTGAAACCCAAGCACAAAATCTTGTAAGTCTACAACTGTATCTCATGGTGTTTCACTAATATATATATATAAAAAAAGCCCTTCCTCAGGGCCCACCAGGTTCAAAGGAAACATCACCTGAGGTATTCCAAAGCCCTTCCTGACTGCCCAAGGGCAAAATACCTCCTAAGGCTTTTTTTTTTCTCCTTTCCTCAGTCCAATAACTCTATCAACATCTTAATACTAGTTATTTTTGTATGGACACAGTAAGAGATACACTGAGGCTTGTAGGGCAGCTCTCCTGGAAACATCTTGCCAAAGACTTAGACTACAGAGCTCAGACAGATTAATCTTTCCTGACCCTAGCAGGGTCCAAATCTAGTTATTACTTTTTGGATCATGACAGCATTTCTCCATGAAGTAGCTCTTAACTTGTGGTTAAGCATTATGGCACTTTGGCCAGTCCCATCTTGATGCCAGGGTAGCACATAGCTCACCACTTGCCCTGGATCCATCCAGTCCCTCATCAGGACCCTGCCTTTGGGGATGCTAGGAAGTAAGGGCAGTTGAGGCTTACGTGGAGAGAACAGATTTCCAGGAGAAAAATACCACTGAGAGTCGCATTACAAAAGCATAGCATATACTGTCTTCTTGTGTACATACAAAAAGGACATTGTTCTGAAAAACTATGCAAAGGACTTAGGGAGAAGAGAAAAACAATACTTATATGTCAACAAAGCACAAAGAAAGAAGTTACAAATAAACACAGAGGAATGGGAGTACTGTGATGGGAGTAATCCAATAAACCTAAGCTATCTGAGGCTCTGCAGGAAGAACAAAACAGTGTTATCCTACATATGTGGATCACTTGATCGCTTGATCACTTGACATCCCATTACTCATCGATCTGCTCAAACTGGCATCAGTAACATCTCCATTCATCCCTGTCACGTGCTAGTGTAGCCCAATGGCATCTTCTCACTCCAGGAACATGAAGAGCCTCAAACCTATCGTTCAGGGTCTTGACGAAGAAGTCTGACCATCTTGTAGGTGGGTGGCCACGCGATCTTTTGACGTCTTGTGGAATCCAGTCAGTAATGGCTCTAGTTCAGCAGTCATCTCCAAATCACATTGTGTGTCCAGTCCATCTGATTTTCGATGCCTTGGCAAACGAGATAGCATCCCTGATTCTTGATCATCGACAGAGGTTGGAACTTCGGATTCTTTCTCTCACTTGAGTGAAGTGTGATACTCCAAGCATAGCTCTTTTGAGTCCTCTTTGAGAGATCCGAATAGTGTTCTCCTCCTGTTTTCATAGGGCCCAGGTCTCTGAGGCATATGTTAATATGCAGGAAGAACAGTAGAATCGAAGAGATGTGCCTGGAGCCGGAGGTTCTTGATCCTCTTAGCTATTTCTTTGATGCTCTTGAAGGCGTTCCAAGCCGCTCTCTTCCTCCTGTGCAACTCTGGTGCCAGGTCATTCGTCATGTTGACTTCTCGACCTAGGTACACATAACTGTTGCATTCAGAGATGTTCATTCCGTTGAAAGTGAATGGAGCGTCAGGAACGAGGCTGTTTCTTATAAACATTGTCTTCATGAGATTCAGCTATAATCTGTCCTTTCCACACTCATGGTTGAAGTTGACCAGCCTTTGTGCTGCTTGGCTCATGTTTGGTGTTATTAGAATGATGTCATCAGCGAAGCAGAGGTGGTGTAGATGCCAGCTGTCTCTCTTCACTCCCATTCCTTCCCATTCCAGTCGTCACATGATGTTCTCGAGGGTGGCACTGAAGAATTTCCATGAAATGGTCTCCCCCTGCTGAACCCCTCTCTTGACATGGATGATCACTTCTTTGTAGAATGGTGAGATCCTGGTAGTGAATCTGTAATACAGCTCATGGAGGATCCTGATGTATTGAGTTTGAACGCCCTTTTTGGCTAGGGCTTCAATGACTGCTTCAGTCTCAACAGAATCTAAGGCCTTCTTTAAATCAGTTAAGGTTAGACAGCGGCATCTTGAACTCCTGAGAAACCTCAATGAGCTTGGTTATCGTGTGGATATGGTTGATTGTGCTGAATCCTTTTTGAAACCCAGCTTGCTCGCATGGTTGTCCTTCATCTAGTGTTCTGCTAATCCTATTCAGGATGACTTGAGTGAACAGCTTGTAGATGACAAACAGGCAGACCAGGCTATAGTTGCCATTGTCGTGGATGTCTCCTTTCTTGTACAGTAGTACAGTCCTGCTGGTTTTCTATTGGGACGGAATATTGTCTTCATTCAGACAGATAGCGTGTGAAGAACAGAACCAGTTTGTTGATGAGAACTGACAGCTGGTTCTTCAGGGTTTTGGGTCTGATCTTGTCTGGGCCAGGTGCTGTTCACTTCTTTACCAATGAAATGGCATGTTGGATTTTGGAAGGGAGAATGTTGGGAATGACATATCCATCCTGCAGAATTTGCTATGTGGGTAGGTGGCCGTGGCTATTGAAGAGATCCGTGTAGAAGTCATGGATAATCTTCTCCATTGCTCTTCTGGAAGATGTGATAGATCCATCATGTGGAATGCATTCTTTTCTACCTTTTGTGTTCAGCACAGGTACTGTAGATGTAAACTCAGGCCCAGAGAGTCTGGGAAAAGGGCAATGATGGCTCTGAAAGTCACGGTGAGCTTTGAGGAGTGGAACCAGTCCCAGCTGCGGCCTGACGATTATCCCCGAGTGGGGTGCGTGCAGAGACAGGCCTCTCTGCGCTTTTGTCTCTCCCCACCAGAGTCCCCATAGGAAGGAGCCCATGTAAGGGTGTTCCCTCTTTGAGGGCTCATTCAGACTGGGCGGGCAACTGGCCTTTCTCTGGGGGTTTCAGTGGCTGTGGGCAGATGTGCTTGGAGGCACTACATTGCTACGTCCTGGACACCTGTACCTGACCCAAAGAGGCTCTGGGGAAAAGGGCTCCAAGACATGATTGAAATCTAGGACAGCAACCAGGCCACTTCTGGACTCAGAAAGTCACCCCAGGGTGCCGGGAAGGCCTCTTTGAATGAAGTCTGAGTATTTTGATTAGCAAATTAAGTTCTTCTGTAGATCTGATTTTTTTTTAAGTCTCTTTTGGCAATTACTAATAGTGTTAGTAGTTAAATGAATTATTCATTTTAAATTTACATTTATTAATAATGTAATAGCACTAGGATAAGCACCTTTTTAAAAAAATCTTTGTTATTTAACAACAATAGATGCTGTTTGAAATTGGGGAGAGAGTTTTACAAGAACAAAGCTTTTTCTGAGTGACTAACTCTGGTTTTTATTTTTGGAGGTGAGGCAAGCTCCCAAGTGGTGCTCAGGAGGCCAGGAGGCCCCACCAACTGTTATTTTTTCTTTTTGTTGTTGCTTTGGGGGGACCATACCCAACAGTGCTCTGGGCTTCCTTCTCGCTCTACTCTAGGAGCTCTGGTGGGCTTGGGGGACCAGATCTGGCAATCAAACTTGGGTTAGCTATGTGCAAGGCAAATATCCTACCCACTGTACTATCATTGCGGCCCCTCCACTAGCAATTCCTGGCCAGATGGGCCAGCAGCTGACCAAAAGGGCCCACAGATGGCGCTGATCCAGCCTTTGGGGCCACAGGCCTGCACCCAGTGTTGTGAGGGGAACCCTGTGGTGACCAGAATGGACCGGTCAGGCGTGTGAACCCTGACTGCTGTACTGTTTCCCAGCCTCAGTCTGTTGATTATTTTGTGAAAGGCTCTATCCATCCATGCCACCTGCTTTGCCTTCGTCTTTAGAGGATCTTCTTTTTGCTCTTTCCTTTCAGGGACAAGCAGTGGCACCATGGCTTGTTGGGACATGAGGTTCCAGTTGCCAATCTCCAGTCACTGCCATCCGTCCCGAGCTCGAATCCGGCGCCTCTCCATGCATCCTCTGTATCAGTCCTGGGTGATTGCAGGTAAGCGCAAGGCATGGGGAAGCTTCTCAAGAGCGTAGCGCTCCGTGCTGCCAAGACTTGGGTTCTCAGAGGCGTTGTTTGACCTGTGAGGGGGCCACGGGTGCTTGGGTCAGGGACATTCCCACTGCCAGCGCTCATCTCGTCTACTTCTACCTTGCCTTCTATTTTCCTGCCAGCCTCTCCCTTCCATTCTCTCTCCTTTAATTTTGAGGGGATGGGGAGTGGGTGGGAGGACTCCCAGGAGGTACAGAGGAGCCCCGGGGGACGCGGATCACTACTGATAATCTTGGCCGTCTGGATCAGCGGGAGAGCCTGAGAATGCGGTGATGCTCATGAGACGGCAGGGTGCCAGGGGTTCAGCCGGGGTGAGCCTCATAGAAGTGTAAGCCCAATCCCTGTCTTTCTCTTGGGCCACTCCATTTGTTTTCTCATCTCCTGTATCCCTGATTGTGAAAACTGCCCCCCCGGCACATTAACGAGAATCCCCGACTCATCCTTCACACTTACCATTTCTTATTGGCCTGTTTCTAGAGTATTTCTTACAAGTTTCCTTCTCTCCTGGGGCATTCAGATTTTTTTCTGCGTGTCCTTGCATCCTTGAAACTCTCTTTCTCCCTGATTGGAGGTTTAAATAGCAGAGTTCTAAGAATGTGAGGTCAAGTGTGAAGTCTGTGGCCTGCACACGGTTAGTGCGTAAGGCACTAGAGGTCTTGGTAATTTCTTGTTTCCCACGGGGCCTCTTGCCTCTGGACTCTGTCGTCTCCTGCACGACTTGTCTTGTCCTGACCACCCCTTGAAAGGTCACTATTTGTTCATCCAACAGGCTACTGAGCACTTGGTCTGCTGATTGAAATTAGGTGAGGAAGACAGTATTTCCAGAAGCAAAGATTCTGCTCTCGCTTTACCTGTTCATTGGTTTTCTGGAGCCTGCTTGTCTTCTGACTTAAATCGACTGCCTCAGACTGCAGTCTTGGCTCTCGGCCTTTTCTCTCTCCACACGGGCTCCCAGCAGGATCTCTTACAGTCCTCTGCTTTTTTTTTTTTTTTAACAGTCCTTTGCTTTAACTGCCGAATCCTCGGAACCTTTTTTGCCTGTTCCACCCAGAATGCCCCCAGCAGCCGTCCAGTTTACAAGTCCAGCCTGAACCCCCGTTTCCTCTCTGCCACCTCCTCTGTCAAAGGCAGTCCTGCTCAACCTCCTGTGCTCACCTGTTTCCATCATCCTGTCCCCAGTCCAGACACCCCTCGTCTTTATCCTGCACCTCGTCAGACTCTTCTTCTTTCGGCTCCCTTCCTTCCAGGGGCTTCCCATGCCCAGTAACAGCCAAACCCTCATGGTGGCCCTCTTGGGCAGATCTGTCTTGTCAGGGTTACAATAGGAAGTAGGGAGTGTCTCGGTCCGGTAACATGAGGATTGCTTTTCAAAGGATTGTTTTTTTGTCAGAGTGCCTTAAATCGCACAACAAAATGGTATACAAGAGGGCAGGATTCTGGGACGTGGGGGGAAGCGTGACTAGAGAAGGTGCTGTCTCAGGAAGACAGCAGTGACTCTGAGGTGCACGACACACCCACCCTGAGGTGACTGTTGGGACTTTGTCCATCCCTCAGGTTCCCCACGCCCGCTGTTGTAGCAGTATCCCACGTGGCTGTCTGTTGGCCAGCTTATGGCCATTGTGTTTATTCTCTTAAGAGTTCTTGGAGCTAGAAGCAATGCTGGGCCACAAATGGGGCCCGTTGATTCTCTGGTGTGCCCTCGCAGAGAGCCTCAGCCCTTGTCCTGACCCCTTTCCCCCTCTTCCAAGCCTGCACATTGTGTTCCTCGGTCCCAAATCTGTCTTTGCATAAGGACCCTTGGGAGTGAACTGAAGGTTCACCGGGACAAGCAGAATATCCTCCCTATCTTCTGGCCCCTGATTGAGGCAAAGGCGCTCGGCGTGGGGTGGGTGGGAAGGGACCAGCGCCACCACCCTTTGCCCCACACCTCCCCCACATTCCACTGCACCAGCCACCCTGGCTTTGTCCTCTAGCATTGGTACATTCCCGTACCCGGGCCTTTGCTTTCAGTTGCCTCAGAGAGTGACCGCCTCATGGTAAATATGTTGGTTAATGAAATACTAGTGGAAGGATGACGCCTCAGGGTATTTCATGCTCCTTCCCTCCCGGGAAGGGGCCCAGGAAAGGGCTGAGAGATTTGGAATGAACACTTTGCATGCAGGGGGAATCCCTACTAGACCATGTGGTCCTCCAGGCAAGGCTGGGTGTGGTGCAAAAACAACAGAACAGAAAACCATTCCTAAGGGATGATGTCTCTGCAATTTGCACTTTACACAGCCTTGGACTCACGTCCTGCATGCACACTTCCTCCCATGGCCCGGGCTTGTGGGCTGCGCTTACTCCTTCCTTCCACTGAAGTGATCCACCCACAAGTGAGCCGTGTCTGTCCACTCCAGTGGGATCATGACCAGGAAGTCAGGCTGCTGCTGCCCCTGGGCCAACTCTTCCCTTGTGAGATGAGGTGGAACTCTGCACTCATTTCTACGTTCATTGTCCTACACAGTGCATGAGTCAGCCACTCAGGCTGGGGTTCCTGAGGCCAGAATCTCTCTAGGACTCCCCTGTCCCACTCCTCCATTCTCTGTATTCGGACCCCGGGAGGCTCTGGACAGCATTTCTTACAACTCCCTAGTTGCTGACCATCTCCAGTTAGCCACAGCGTTCATTGGAAAGCATTTCTTGCAGGAAGGGAAACAAATGTGAGGCGGGGGCCGACTGGGATTGTGGGTGGGATGTGAAAGGCCCACGTGCAGAACCCCGCGGGAGGCTGAGTAATGGTCTTGGCCTTTGTCTTCTTCCTCAGCTGTCCAGGGCAACAATGAAGTGTCCATGTGGGACATGGAGACGGGCGACAGACGGTTCACGCTCTGGGCCAGCAGTGCCCCGCCACTGTCCGAGTTACAGGTTTGATTCTATTTTTCATTATAGAGGCCACTGTGCTTGCTTTCCCCTATCACGGGCCCTTCAGGCCTTTGACCGACTGTAGTATGTGTTGAGGTCAGGGGTTGGGTTCAAGTGCTGCTGAGTTCCCCAGCTCCAGGGCAGCTTGCCAGCACCTTGGGTTTCTTGCTGGTGTCTGCCTCCCTAGGTGTTGCAATTGCTGGTTTGTGATAAGAGATTTGTTAGGGCTTTGTAGAGCTCCAGTGAAGTCTGGGTTAATGAAGAAAAGCCCAGAGTCAAGTTGAGATCCCAGCTCCCTAATGGCGCAACAGATTCTAATGGGCCATATCACTGAATGTGGGGGTCGCAAGCAGGTTTGTCTTATGAAAATGGATTCAGGATATATTATAGGTAAATATTTGATCTGCATATCTGTTTTATATAGCTGGGGCTGCAAGTGGAAGAAGTCTAAGATGTCTTGGTTTAGATTATTCTGTGGAACATGACCTCTTATGCAGGTGTCTGCTCTGAGTGGTCAGGGGTGCTTCATTGGGGCAAAAGATAAAGACCCTGACTGGTTAAAGAAACTTTGGTACATCTACACAGTGGAGTACTATGTAGCTCTTAGAAGAGATGAAGTCATGAAATTTACATACAAGTGGTACAATATGGAAAGTATCATGCTAAGCGAAATGAGTCAGAAAGAGAGGGATAGACATAGAAAGATTGCATTCATCTGGGGGATATAAAGTAACAAAATATGAGATTAATACCCAAGAATAGCTGAGATCAACACCAGGAGGATTACTCCATAGCTTAGAGGCCAGCCGGGTATTCTAGGGGAAAGGGCAGTTCAGATAGAGAAGGGAGCACCAAATAAAGGGTGTTTGGAGGATCCTCCCAGGAGGGGAGATGCATGTTGAAAGTAGACTATGGACTGAACATGTTTGCCACTCAGTGCCTCTTTTGCAGACCACAGCACCTAATAGGAGAAAGAGAACAAAAGGGAATGCCCTGCCACAGAGGCAGGGTGGGATGGGGGGGATGGGGGGGGGGAGGGAGTTATCCATGGGTGTGGAAAATGGGCACTGGTGGAGGGATGGGTATTTGATCATTGTATAACCGAAACCCAAGCACAAAAATTTGTAAATCTACAACTGTACCTCATGGTGTTTCACTAATAAAAATAAATAAATAAAAATAAAAACTGAAGACCTGCATGCACAATAAAAAAAAAAAAAGATAAAGACCCAAATTGAAAGAAAGAAAGAAAAAAAACCTTCTCATCCTTAAATGGAAAGTTTTAGACAGAGGATAGGTTTGACTTTTTTAATGTATAAAACATATATTTTTTTAAAGTTCCTAATAATTACTAAGATGTACAATGCCTTAATACTTCCAGTACTGATGCTTTCCTATTTTCAGTTCACCAAGTAAAGACACTGAAGGTGACTTGTCTTTTGAGTGAGTATCGTCCTTAGGGAAGGCCCTGGCGCCTTATTTGACTCCTGTTCTTTCTTTGAAGCCTTCTCCTCACAGTGTCCATGGTATCTACTGTAGTCCTGCAGATGGAAATCCTATCCTGCTAACAGCTGGTTCAGACATGAAAATCAGGTACAATAATTAAATACTGACGCTGAAGCTGGGAATAAAAGAATGGATGAAACTACTCCTAATATCTAACTCTTACAGATGTTAGTAATATCGTAATTATTAAAATATCCACATCTTTCAGGGACAATCTGTAGCCAGTATTATGTTATTCTAGAAAGTCTTTTTCTCTTCCCTTTTTTTTGGGAGGTGGGAGTGAGGCACACCCAGAAGTGTTATGGACTTACTCCTGGCTTGTTGCTAAGGGATCATTCCTGGTGGGGCTTGGAGGAGATCTTATGTGGAACTGGGGATCAAACCCAAATCAGCTATATATATTGAAAGCACCCTACCCACTGCACTATTGTTCTAGCACTCTGAAAAATCACTTTTCCTAACTAATGCAAACAAAACAAGCTATACATTGGTAAAGGAAAGCCAGGGACGAGTTCTTTCTCATCTCTTGCAGAGATTACCCACATTCATTTCCGCTTTCCTAGGTTTTGGGACTTGGCTTACCCAGAGAGGTCCTATGTTGTTGCGGGAAGTACTAGTTCACCGTCTGTGTCCTACTACAGGAAAATAATTGAAGGCACTGAAGTTGTCCAGGTACAAGCAGTTTTTCCTTTAAACTTTTGTAGGCACAACAGTAGCCAGCCTTGGCCAAGAATGTTTGGTAGTATTTCTTGCAGTTTTTTCTTTCGGGTTTTCTATGTTCAATATTAAAATGTTTGTTTCAAGTACCTAGCTCCAAGTATACACTTCACAGAAAGCACCTTTAGTATTTTCTTTCTTCAAGTAAAAAGTAAGGTAATTTGGCTAAGATCACCCAGTTAGTTAGCAGCAAAGCTGGGATTCAAACCTGGCTTTTTGGCTTCGAAGGTAAAAACTTCAACTCAAATAACATTACCTGACAGTCAGGCTTGGGCTAGGGTAAGTGCTCAGCAGATGAAAGCATGCTTCATCTCGTCACAGTGAGCTTTGGAAATGCCCTCCATCTGCTAAGTATTTACTTCTGTCTTCTACGCCTTTCTACCTCTTCGTTAGTGGCTATTCATAGTATCCAACGAGTTCATCAGGATTGTCCTTTCTATTCCTTTTATGGGGGGATGTCTGTGGTTGCCAGGTAACTTTGCAAGAGGCATTAACTTGAACAAACAAATATCCCAGAAGCATGAGTACTGTAAGGTGGCACTGATTTTTAACTCCTGCTCTTCTCTTTGACTTTTGACCCTCAAACAGGAAATTCAGAATAAGCAGAAGGTAGGACCCAGTGATGACACCCCTCGGAGGGGACCGGAGTCTCTGCCTGTGGGGCATCATGACATCATCACTGATGTCGCCACATTCCAGACGACACAGGGCTTCATTGTCACTGCATCTAGAGACGGAATTGTTAAGGTGTGGAAATGAATGCCTTAGTGATTTGTATAGTTTGTATAAAGCTATAGCGTAACTTGAAACTTAAAACAAAATGTATTTTTTAGATAACATAAGTGAGAATGTGTCCATTTGCTTATATTTAAAATCATGTTGCTGTTTCATGATTGAACATGTCCCACCCACGGTGGTTAAAGGAAGTTGCACTTAGGGTACTCTTGTATATCTCTGCAAGAGGCAGCCAGATGACAGCGTCTGGGGCTTTCTGACTTTGTGTCATTGAAACGAGGAATTGAAAATGTTAAGACTTGAAGAGCTCTGTTTACTTTGTATTGAAAAAGATGCTTGTAAGCTATTATAATAAAGACATTTTTGCTATCAAAAATGCTATTCAAGCCAGTCAATAAACTATATTGAAACTTCTAACGGGCTTTTTTGGTTGGTATTTGGAGCTTCAGGAAAAGACTGAAGTCTGTTACATTTGCTCTCAGGAATTGGACTTAGTGACAGAACAATATTTTCTGTCCACGTTTCTGTGCTGTGTTCTTTCTGTTTAATCTCCCAGCTTCTTTTTTTTAATTTTTATTTTTATTTTATTTTTTTGTTTTTTGGGTCACACCCAGTGATGCTCAGGGGTTACTCCTGGCTCTGTACTCAGGACTTACTCTTGGCGGTGCTCGGGGGACCATATGGGATGCTGGGAATCGAACCTGGGTTGGCCGCGTGCAAGGCAAACACCCTACCCGCTGTGCTATCGCTCCAGCCCCTCTCCCAGCTTCTTAAACTGGGGCATGACCCCATATGTTGCTTAACTGAGCGGGGTCAGTGTCCACATATTGGTAACAGTTAAATGTTTCTGAACACACATTATCAAAGGTTTTTTCAAAAGCACTGTAATGAGTATCCAAGCAGCTCTCCCATATTGCATTTTGGGGCACAAAGGATATGAATGGGAAGTTTAAGAAGCCCTACTTTCTCTTACCTTCCTCCCTGTGCATGTATTGTCTGCTTGCAAATCATCTGACACTATAGACTTAATCTCTTACATATCAGATTCAAAAGAAATGTTGCCTCTTCATGGCCGTCATTACTGTTTTTTTATAGGCTCTTTTAAGAAATTCTGAAAGTTGGCTCTTCAGCTTGCTTTGGGCTGGAGCGATAGCACAGCGGTAGGGCATTTGCCTTGCACGCAGCCAAGATGGCCGACCCGAGTTCGATTCCTCCGCCCCTCTTGGAGAGCCTAGCAAGCTACCGAGAGTATCTCGCCCGCACGGCAGAGCCTGGCAAGCTCCCCGTGACATATTCGATATGCCAGACACAGTAACAACAAAGTCTCCAATGGAGACGTTACTGGGCCCACTCGAGCAAATCAATGATCAACGGGAGGGCTTTGAACTAGTGTCAATTATTTAATGCATAGAGTGAGAAAAATAATGTTGGAAAATAGCAAGATTTAAGGATTATTGGAGACCAGTCTTTTTACTCTATGTTTGCCATCCACTTGTGGAGAAGTATATGATATTAAAAATAATTTGGACTGGAGAGGTAGTACAGCTTGCCTTGCACACAGCTGACCTAGGCTTGATTCCCACCCACACATACTGTACCCTGAGCCTCACCAGAAGTGATCTCAGAGCACAGAGCCAGGAGGAAGCCTCAGCACCACCAGGTATGGCCCCCAACCAGAAAAAAAAAATATATATGTATATATATATATACACACACACACACACACATACATATACATACACACATATATATATTTATATATATATAGAGAGAGAGAGACATTACTGGCACCCACTCGAGCAAATGGACAAAAAATGGGATTACAGTGATACACATATATATATACATACTTGTATATATGTTTATCTAGTTTGAAAATAGTAATATGATTGCACAACAAAAAGGTTGAATAGTCTAGGGAAAATACTAATGAGAAATATTCCAAAATTAATTTTTCTATAATTATAACTTTAGACAGGCACAGTTTTAAGTCTGATTATTGTAGTCTGGATCTCACACCTGTGGTATTTTTGACTCTGTAGTTTATATATCAATCTCTTTATTATCCAGTCTTACTCTGGAGAACCTGGCAGGCTACCAAAAGTATCCTGCCCACACGGCAGAATCTGGCAAACTCCCCGTGGCATATTCAGTATGCCAAAAACCAGTAACAGTGATGGGTCTCATTCTCCTGACTCTGAAAAAGCCTCGAATGTGGCACTTTATAAAATCTCAGGGCTAGGACGAAGCAGACATTACTGGTGCCTACTCGAGGAAATTGATGAACAACAGGATTACAGTGATACAGTGAATATAGTTATGGTAGTACAGCATGCAATGCTATGTCTAAGTTCAGTAACAAATACTCAGGATTGAAACTGGAAACCCCATTATTGAGAAAGGAATGACTGATGGCCTCTGACCAGACCAGCTATCTTTCAGAATTGACAAGTTTGATATGGACATAGCATGCCTCTGTTTCCCTTAAAGCTTGCTTGAACAACATTTACAGAATTTCCATTGTTTTACTTGTCTGTTTTTGTGCCACAACTGGCTGATTCCTAACTCTGTGCTCAGTGATTATTCCTGGTGGGGCTTGGGGGACCATATGAGGTACTGGGGAATAAAACCCAGGTTGACTGAGTGCAAGGAAAGTTCATTGTCTGCTGTGCTGTGCTCAGACCCCCTAGCTTTTAAGTAAGAGAATCTGCAAAGTTAGAGGAATTTTTTTTTTTGAGTCATAAACTGTCATCCTGAAAATGGATGAAAGCCTATTGCCATTGTGTGTGCCTATGATATTTTAGCCTTTCCACACTTGCAGGCTGCTAAGGCAGAAATAAAAGCATTATAGCAAAAAGACATCAATATTTATAGCACTGATCAGTATTTATACATGATCCAGGCATGCGAAGTGACAATAACTTTCATGGACTAGCTGGAAATTTCTGCAAACCAGCAGTGGAAGTTGAATTGTTTGGTGTAGGGATCGGAGAGATAGTACAGTGGGTAGGGTGTTTTCCTTGCACGTGGCCAACCTGGATTTGATCCCTGGCATCCCATATGGTCCCCTGAGTTTGTTAGGAGTGAATGCTGAGCTCAGCCAGGAGTAACCCCTGAGCACGGCTGAATGTGGCCCTAAAACGATGAGTGAAATGTCTGGCATAAGCTGTAGGACTGCTTAGCCTGCTAAGGAAAAAAACATTCCAAGCTTGTGGAAGATAAAGTCTCTTCCCCCAATCTCTGCCCCGGAAAAAAGTCTCACTTTAAAGATGGTCTTTTGAAGATGAAATCATTCAGTAGGGTAGAACTGAAGGGTATCATGTGAAGCAAGAATAAATTGGGAGGGAGAAGGACAAATATTTGATGATCTCACTTATCTGTGGCACATAGACAAACTAAACAAGCATATAGACAGTATGGAAAGATAAACCTTTGGCCTTGAATTATAGATTTGAGAGTACCAAGTAGGGGATGGGAGAATGGTTGGGTGGAATGATAAGGTGGACCCGAAGTAGCAAAGGACACCAGTGGAGGCATCTCTTGGTGATTGTGAGGTGAGGAAGTAGTGTACATCAAAACCATAAATAACATTATGTGACCCAAATCATAAGTAGTTAATAAATTGTATGTAATAGACGCATGTATGCTTATTTATGCATAGTTTAGTGATGCATAGTTTAGTGGTGATAATTTGTACTATGCACTTTGAATTACATCATGTGCTTTTTCAACTTCTTTAAGTCAAAGCAAAGTGCTTTTGTAGACTTAAAACTTACTATTTACACATTTTTTTTCATGACATGAAAAACTACCCTATTAGTAATGTCTAATAAGGAACAAAAAATGAATCATTTGAATTGTCACTGGATATTATAAACTCTGATGCCACATGGACTTGCATCTGTTTGAACATGCCCAGAACTGGAGACCTGTGCCCTATATAATCAATTACCTTACTTTAAAAATTGTTTTTATTACAGTGTAGGGTTCCAAGAGTTTTCCTAGAGTTTTCGTGTTTATGGTGTCAATTTGCAAAGTTACTGGACCCCACCCACCACTACCAATGTGCCTATGAACCCCAACCCTATTTCTGTCACCTCCAATCTCACTTCCTACCCCCTTAATTCATGCCTCCATTGTTTGTTGATTGGAGATAATAAACTTAAATCTTTAAACCAGGGAACATCACTTGTGGTTCTTGATTTAAATAGGATTTTATTTTATTTACAGTGCATTTTCTCTCTCTCAGGAAAAAGAAGTCATAGAAGATGTTAAAATTAAGGATTAATGCTTTCTTATCCATTATTCATTTTTTATATTAAAATACTCCACGTGCTAAAATAATCTGTTACCAAGGAGATATTTTCTGTTCTTTATTGATCCATGCAGGGAGAAAAAAATAGACTTTTAACAAGTATTTTGAACAATAAACAGGAACGTTTGTTTACTCCAAAGATAACCAGAAAAACATTGTCAGTTAAAACAGCTCTTAAACTTTTCCTGAAAGCATCACTTGGGATAATATGAGGAAACAGGATACTTTGTTCCTGTACTTAACCTGAGTCTGATTATGATACTTAAGCCCTGCTCCTCTGAAGACACTGGGAGCTTTCTTTATGAAGCTGTCTGAGGAAGGACAGCAGAAATGGCTTCATAAAATTCTGCAGAACCTTCTGGGTTTTATGAAGAAAAGTTTTGAAAAGAAGATCAAACTGTCTCCTAGTCTTTGGGTTCAGTACCCAATGGCACCACACAGCTAAGCGGGGACCCCTCATTTGCTGCAAGAATGATAACTCTGCTTAGCAAGACCATTGCTACCAGTGGGGGAGCCAGCTCTAAGGTCCCAATATTGTAACTAAGTGAAAAGGTGTTGCTTGAGCATTTGGTGGTTGGCAATACCAGTCTGTGATGTAATTTGGGTGGGGGATGAGGAGAGAGTGCAGTGAGCTTTCAGAGGATGCTGCAAGATGTGAGGTGCTTGGAAGTCTTATCCAGCTTGAAAATAGGCTGATTTCTTTCACTCCCCCCTTCCCAGTCCCCCCATCCCCCCAGCCTTGTAAGGATTTCTTATCTAAAATCAGAACTCATTTGAGGTCACTTTCCAAATCCTGCCAGTCCGGCTTGGTGCTCTTCATTCTTGATGGGTTAAAGAAACTCAAAGAGTTTCACCCAAAACAGTTGTGTCTTGACTTGTGTCAAGAATACAGGAATTGGTTTTTAAAAAATAATGGAATGAAAATCCATCCAAATGGCCTAGCAGGATATGTAATAAAGCTCAAAAGCAGTAATTTATGCTTTGGAAAAATGAGACTCTGAATTACAGAAGATTTGGATATGGGGGAAATTCTCCTGCCTCTCACTTCTTCAAACAGATGGTGAAGGTGAGATGAGGCCTTCTCCAGTTGGCCGGTGAGATAGAGGTATGTTGAAAAGA